CTCATTTTGTGGACTTGTCCACCTCAGCCTTATTAACTGCTTCTCTTCCATGATACCCTGCATATGCGACGATACTGGTTGATATCCTTCTCTTTTAAAGGGAGAAAAAAAAAAAAAAAAGCATCCGTGCGGCGCAGAGTCAACTCGATGACGCTGCATAAAATAGTGAAATGGACCAGTTCCTACTCGCCAGCTTCGAAGGTTCGTGCCGTTTTTGAACGGCCCGAGGCGTTTTGTTTCGACCCCTCCTTTTGCGCCCGGGGAGTGGTTAGCTAAAATAATTATAAAAGATCTTATGATGGGCGAGGAAAATAGTTGCAGTGTAGCGTAGCGGATTTGATTTGTCCAAAAATCCAAGCATCAACAACGCCCAGCGCAAAGAGATACGTCACTTGCGTTTGGCTCGTTCGCGGGCGCTAAATTTTAAATTTTTTTTAACTCTTGTGGTGTTTGGCTCTGGTTGAGGGTTGAGTTGGTAAAGCGCCTTTTCCTGATAGATCATTTGTCAGGTCTCTGGAGCCGCTGGAGGCGAAGAATTGTTGATATATGGAGGGAGTACTTTTTAAGTTTCTTTAGATCATCCAACGTACAGAACGTAGAGTACGTGAAGAGTACCTATGTGGCTTGTTCCTGTACATCTCCTTTGCGAACATTCTTCTTTGCACCTGGGGTTAAAAATTATCTTTTGCATTACCGCCCTGTGAACCCCTTTTTTAAGACCGTGTTCGGCCAGAAATTCGACTGCTCACCTCCGCCGTAGTTCGATTTCTCATCCTTCCCCTCCTCCCCCGCCAAATTTCAGGAGAAGATATTTTTTATAACGGATAGCTTGAATTGGGAGAGTAATGCAAAGTGGCATTTAATGGAACTCAGTGCATCAAGACGTATGGCAATTGCCATCGGAATGTCCAAACAGCTAATACTTGACCTACTATACTCCGTATACTGAATTCACTCAGCTTGTGTACAAGTGCAGGGTAGAGTCCACTTTTATGCGGTTTATTTGTTGGGTTAAAATGAATATATGCCTTTAGGAACAAAAAATTAAAAAAAATAAAAATACAAAAGACATCATGAGAGAAAAAAAATAGTTATAAAGACCACATGATTGACTGTATGCAAATTAAGAGAACTCCCTGTAAGACATGACGTCGAAGCATGTGCATTTTCGTCGGGGTACTTAGGGTTGACGAAACTGCGCAAGCTACATATATCTGTATACATCTGATCTGAACTGAAAAGTCTTTGCTTGTCAGATCGGGCTGTGTCGGGTCAGCTTGCGTAGTACAAAAGTGAAGGCAAAAGAGCAGGGGATTAGGCGTGTGGGGATGGGGTTTGGACATAGAACAGCAAGATGTCGGAAACATGAGCTTCTCAAAAGTAAAATATAATATGGATGGATAACAGGTTTGGGGACTATATATGCATAAAGAACCAGAAGAGTTAGGAAAACAACATAAGAAAAGAAACTCAACAACCCAGCTAGCAGCATGGTCATTTCGAAGCTCCGTTGGCAATGTGGTTGTTGCACCATCCGGATGCTCTGCAATATGAGCACGATGGAAACGATAAGGAAACGGTGACTTAGTGTCAGTAGCTAAAATAGCCATAAAATCGAGAGCATGAAGAGATCAGATAAAAATAACACTTTCTTGAGAAAGATATGTCAACACAAGCCTCAAAACCTTCAACAGATAGCCATATGCCCAAAAATGCCAGCAACCCTTTCCCCGATTCCCGGGGTTTCATGCTTCCAAATTTTCATATAGCCATTTTCGAACCAATCACCAGGCCCCTTTCCGCGCGAGCGGTATATATTTAGATTTCCTGACACAAACAAAAACAAATCAAACAAAAAGGTCGGAGTAAAGAGAAGGGAAGAGAGTATAAAAAAGGAGATGAAACAGAGGGAAAAGAATATAGAGGGGGAAAAAAACATACACATATGAAAAGGGAAAGCAAAACGAAGGAGATTCCAATCCTCTTCAGACAGGTGGAAAGGCAGGAGAAATGCGATAAGGGGAGATAAGTGAATTGAAGGGCAAATAAATAATATCAAGCCAAGATAATAACTCCGTTGGAGCAGCAAGCTCTAGAAGTTGTAACTGCATCTTCCAAGGCTGATTGTTTCTGTTTTTTGTTCCGTGTGGATCCTTTCTTGTGCGATAAACCGACGAGTATGATTTCCGATGAATGATAACGAGTTGATGAAACAAAATGCAAAGCAAAAAGGGAAAAAAGATGACAAAACCGTAGAAAGTTAACCAAGCAAAAGCCGATGGTGGATTGGCTGAGGAAAAGTAAAAAAAGCATGATGAATACCAATAAAAATTTTATAATATATGGCAGTTATCAGGTAGGCGACTGGGGGTGGCGCAGTCGACGAAGACAAGAATTGCTCAAAATTCGTTAACCCTCCAGTACATTCATTACCTTGGCTTAAGACCCAGCCTGAGTTCAGAAGCGCCAAGCAAAGCTGAGGTCGGATACTGGGCCTTTCCCAGAATTGCACAACAAGTCCCGCCCATTTATTGGGACTGTTGTCGTACCACAATGAATTATCGTGACTTTGCCGTCATGCGGATATGTATCCTCGGCGCGTGGTGTAGGGGTGTGATACCCGATACCTAAGTTTGTTTCAACGTATCTCTTTCCTGACCTTCCGAAGGGAAGGTTCGGGTGTCGAGAGCAACACAGAGCAGGCCGCTGCGGCCGACGGAAAGTAAATCGCGGACGAGTTCCGCATATAGGTGATTGCGTGCTGCGATCGTGTAAAGGATTCCTTGGGGTTGATTTCCTTTCTAGCGATATCCCCTCATGAAAGTTAAAACAAAATTCGATGCATATTTTCGAGAAAATCTGAACTCATAATAAAGTATCAGAGAAGCTAGCAATAGCTTCCGTTGTAACGTTATAAAATGACCACTGAAAAAAAAAAAAAAAAAAAAGATGAAAAATGAAAAAAATATTTAGCCACGCCTTCGGGTCATAAAGTGTGAATGCTTCTCTTTTTGCTCACTCTGTGACCGTCAGCATGCTCATCGATGCGATGCAGTCCTGCAGTTTGGCTCTGCGCTAACTCGAGTTTTTGCATTAATTTTCCGATGGTTACATAGTCTTGTGCTACCAGGCCAGTCGGTTGACTGTTAAAATAGTTCAAAACAAGCTCCAGAGCACGGCGTGCCTCATCATGGGTAGGAGAGCTAGGAGATACTGGAGAGGCAGTAGTAGATTGCGGTGGGGGTGGGGGTTGCATAGAATTTGTTTTGATCTCAGGATTGCTGCGATTCCTCTGCATTAGGGGTGATTCACTTGATGACGGACGAGTATTTCCGTGGTCTTCATCGGCAACACTTGGAGACGTGGACGGCTGAAAGACATTTTTAGGTGACACATGATCCGACGATCCGTTGGCAACTGGGCCTGGTTCCGTCACGGCAATTGGGAATGTCTGGCTTCTTGGTCGACTGGAATTGTTGACCGAGTCTTGTTCAACACGTAATTGACTTTCAGGAATGAAAGGGTTCTCAGAGAAGATAATAGGGCCAGAACTGGCCGCGCTGGCCGAGAGCGAGAGTTTTCTGTCGAGTGAATTTGTACTTTGCGAGTGAGAGTGCTGCCGGAATTCAGCGCCATACCCCGGCAGGGCACCATCGATGCTCTCTTTCTTTATTGAACTTTTCTGTTTTGGAGACAGAGGCGAAGGTGTTGTTGTTCCATTCGGTGATAGAGGAGAAATTCCATTAGGGGTTTGACTCGATGCGTTGGCTTGTCCGTTTCCTGGGCTATCCAGTTCATTTATTGTATCAATTGAGCCCTTCCGCGACTGAGAACTCCGTAAATAATTCTTCTGCTTGAACTTTTCCAACCAATTGGAGTTCAATATTTTCTGATGGTTTTCAGGGCCACCAACAGTACTCGCGAAGAAAATGGCCTTTTCTTTAATCATCTCATCGTTTAATTGACCGCCTTGGCGCAAGTGGTTCCTGACCCAGTTCGACAGAGCCCGCTCAATATCCGGAAATTTCCCTTTTGACTTCTTTATTGGTGAACGACTTCCATCATCTGGGCAGAGATATTTTTCTTTTTGCCGTAGAACCTTGGAAACAGTGCTGAAAAAAACTAAGGTTAGCAAAGTGGACAGGCAAGGTAAAATAGCGCTAAGTCTTAAGGTGGTTTGTAATATATACCTTCGTTCCACCCCAAACAAGGCTATACGAATTAAAAAAGGAAAAAAAAAAGTCAGCATGACAGCGTCTACAGGAGTTGATTCAGCACACGGGGCAAGTATTCTTTACCTCCAATCTCTGTTTGTTTTACATGCGGGTGCCTTTCGTGATACTCACACATCCGACGTCGATCATTATCCGTGAGAGTCCGTCGCGGCGTAGGAGCTGTGGTTATTGGTGCTGTATGGATAGGATGCAGACTAGGCATGGAGGGCATCGGCATTGGCGGGAGAGGGACTGGGGGGAAGGTGGACTGTGTAGTCAACATGCTCGGCCATTGCGACGGCGTGGACAGAGGAAGTAATTGCTGCGATGTATACGGTTGCGGAATGGACATGCTATAAGAGGGTTCTACTGGCATGACTGGTGAAGAGCCATAGGTAAAACCATTGAACTCGTTTATTGGCGATTGGTGCTGAGACTGACCATATCCTCCTCCCATATCAACCCATTGAGGCGCGGTGAAATCATGATCTTGTGGTTGCGCTTCAGTATCCATTTCTCGCTCTTTCTCTCCTTAAACCAACTTAATGATGACCAGGATACCCTTTTTTCCCCAGCTATTAGCTTTGCGGTCCGTAACCTGTCGAGGTTGTAAGGGTGGGCCGAAGACGAGGCAATATGCCGCCAAGCTGAGGTGGGATAGTAAAAGTAGGTCCGCTGCAGCCAAAGCGCAAGTTGAGCGGGTCTTCCAACTATAAATAAGAAGAGAAAACCCGATGCATGATATAAAATAGCAGCGCGAAATACAGGAGCCCGGGTCAACTAAAAATGAAAGTGAAAAAGGAAAGGAAAAGGGCCAAAAGGGAGAAGGTCAATTCAAATGATTCCAGGTACAAAGCCAGACAAGCCCAGTTATGCACCTTTTCGAGCTTCGTTGATGAGAGCGACAGGAGGTCCGGGAGGGGCCGCACGGCCGTTGTTATAATAATCCGGAGTATACCACAAGAAGGCAACATAAAGGGACAAGGTGCAGAAGTACCCTTTGGAGGTGAGGGATTCTTTGCAAGGAGCAGATCAGCTAAGACTGATTGGTTTTGGCTTTTTTTTTTTTTTTCTTCCTTGGTAAGTAAAAGAAAAGTTAGGAGAGTACGAATGGCGCGAGAATAAAAAACAATAAAAAAGGCCACCAGGAAGTACGAAAAAAAGGCTTTTGGTGATCTGACTGGGTAACTCTGGTATTGACTTTTGCTAGACAGCTGAAAGTAACGGATTGCAGCCAATCCGCGGGGCTACCCGGACCTTGATGAGAGGGGGAACTGTCAACGCATTCATCTCATTAGGGCATTCATTTTACAGCTGGAAGAGAGTAACGAAAGACGGCAAGGAAATACAGTATTCTTACCAACACCATGCAGACAATACGTAAAAATGGAGAGGAAAGTCTCGCCCATTGGTGAATATAAAAGAGTGGACAGGCCGCACCGGCAATCTGGTTGGAGACCTCAAGTTTACGGTAATTATAGTCGCCCCCAACCCAAGTTCACCACCACGGCTTTAGAATGAGGGTGGATCTTGTAAGTAAGGTTTTAAAAATAAAATTATGAATGGATATGGAAAAACAAAACTGGTGGTAGAACTGATCGTTATGATACGGCGCAATCCGACATTCTTTGGAAACCACGCATAAATCAGACGTGAAACCCAAGGATAGAGAGGCCTTGGGCAGCAGAAATGTTTCCACCCACATTGTTACGGGGCGCAGGGGTAACGTATGGTCTGCGTGGTATTCCCATACAGTTCCAGCCCAGCCACAGACGAGACGAGGCCGTCAGAGACAGCAATTACCCAGTACGCGCGGAAAAACTGTCAGGGGAGGGGTGAGGAAGGGGATTGAAGAGATCCCGAAGCATCAAATAATAACTGGCAGGCGACCAAACTGCCTAGAGAGAGTAAGGCCTGTTTAGCGCAATATAATGCCTGAAAGTTTGCTGAGGGGAAGGTTTCGGCTGTGGGTAAATGTCATGATAGGGCAGAGGGGAGCTAGGCGGAGCATCAGCGATCTTGGTGTGGAAACATCGGCAAACGGTGGAAGGTAGGATGCATGGAATGGCTTTCCGCGTTGTTTGACTCGTGCTCTGAACACCAGATTCGAAGATCATTTCGGATCAGCTCTCAGTGGAGTTTCGAAACAACATGAATGGTCCGCGTTTTGGCGCCTTATTAACATCGAATCTCCTCCTAATTGTCTTAGTGTTGCATCACTGCGGCCGGATCTGCTTGACCCATTGGACCTCACTCAGTGTTGCAAGATCATATGAGCTTAAAGGAATCATCTGCCCATCTTTGGACCAGCTATCAGCCAAAGGGACGCGCCCATATGTAAAGCGGGAAAGAAGAGATGAAAAGTATGAGTATTATTACTTGACCGTCTTGTCCACGAGACTGAAGAATTCCCGAGGACGAGAGGGCTCTCAAATTGACATGATTCAAAGGATGGCATTTTGCCATTTCTGGAAGTCTGGGGAACACGAACCAGGATCGTACCCCGCTCCGGCTCCAGATCTCTTTCTTGGCGCTCGTTGATAATGGCAATCACGTGAGAATCGGATAAAGCTGGCTAAGCCCAATTAACCATAGGCAATCGAATATCAGCGCCCAGGTTTCTTAGGCGAGCAGAGCAAACCACTAATTTTTCTTTAGCGACTGACGTCTGATTTTTATGGTTCCTCCTGCCATAGATGCAAGGCCCAAACCAAAACGAAAGGGACATGAAGCGCCTGAGGAATATGTTCTGCTTAAAATTTGCTGATTGGCTGGAATTCCGGGTTATTTTGAATGTGTTCTCTTCAGTATTTGTGGACCATCAATGCAACTCTCAAGCATACAATTCTTTCGAACTAGTAACGATCAACCGTTTAGAAGAAAAAGCAAGCATTCGGTATGGCGAAGTAAAACGACATGCTTACGGAACAATACAATACATTACCAGGTTGACATATACGATACGGATGTATCGTCCTGTTCTTTCAATCGCACTAGCGGAGGCCACGGGCCCGGGCCGGTTGGATTTGTGCACTTCTTGACGCTGACCCTTGCTCTGTTGCCCAGTCGGAGTTTGGCTGGAGCGGCGTACAGTAACGAGGGAAAAAGCCATCGTGTCGCTTAGGTTGCTATTTTCTATCCTCATTAGTTGTCCCGTTGGATCCAATGTCTTCGATAGCATACGGTCATGGGCCTCCTCAGGGATCTTTTGCGCCATCCTGAGGTCAGGACTTTTGGGGCTGCGGGGAGCCGCGGCGAACCTGATTAATATTTGTTTGATTTTGGCGTGGAGGCAAGGGCTCTGTGATAGTTGATCGTTGAAGCAAGGACGGTCTGCTTTGACTGGGATACCAAACTTTTCAGCCAAGGGGACGGCCAGCCGTCACTGCTGCTGCAGCAGGAGGTTGATGATCTTATAGTTTGTCAAAGTTGCTCCACATGAAGGTTTGCTATACACCAACGAATGTCTTCATTTTGGAATTTCAAAAATCTTCACGAGGAAAAAGTTGCTTTTGATTTGATGAATTTTGGCATCCTGTAAGCGCTGGGGAATTTCGGAAATTTGACCGTGGCATTGGCTGTTGATCCATCATCAATATCTTCAAGATCTTTTGCGGAGCCTATGAGATAACTAACTAGGTCAGAGCAATTGGTCAACAACTGATACGATTTGGCTCCATCCCATGAGGACGGTGATGATGTATTTTACATGTGCTCGTTGGCCCAGGTTTCCCGCTTTTGTCGATCTCAACTCGGATACTTTTTTCATTTGGCTGTTGCGCATATTTGAGTCGCATGGCACAAAGCATCAGAGTAACATATAACATGTCGTAAAATAAGGGGATATCGAGGGGATTGCAATTGACGTCGTTGAGCCACTCTGGCTGACTAATCCACTCGCTTAACCAACAAAAGTTTAGACCTTCATCTATGAAATACAAAACCCTACAAGCTTGCTGAAATTGGCATTGCTGAAATTTTTCATTGCGAAGACAAGTGGGGGTTTGGCTGCAGGGTAAAATATGTGTGTGTGTGTGTGTGTGTGTGTGTGTGTGTGTGTGTGGAGATGAAGATTTTCATGTATAAACTCGGTGGACTTTACACGTTCAAATCCTCCCCAATCCGCCCAATCTGACGACGTATATAATAATAATAATTACTCCAGCTCCGCGTTGTATACTCCGTAGAGCCACTCCCAAAAGGATATTAATCCCATAACAAGATGTTATTCCGATGCCAAGAACTATGGCCTCCGGGACCAAGATGATTCTGATCCCCACGCAACTGTGTACTCCGTAGTGTGGTTTGGGATCCTTTTCAGCTCCGCCAGGAGCAGGTGTGTAATGTCCTTTATTTTAAAGAATTGCCTTCAAACCTCATGAACATAAGCATCATCGCTAACTGGGCTGCAGTATGATCCCTAGCGCGGCCAAGCAAGACTCACCCTGTCTCCGTTGAGCTTGGTTGAGTTAGGCCTGATCGACCGTCCAAGCTCCGCATATATTTTTCTAACTTACAAGAACTAAAAACAGACCCAGCTCAAGCTGGGCAAAAATGATCTATCAAATTATGACGCCGGCAGTCATGCTTCGGATCAGCACTGTCACCCCAGGAGCGCCAAGGGGTCCTTGGCTCAAGAACTGCGCAAAGACCATCCTGGCTCAAACTACCCCTTCATGGACGAGTATGGGCACGTTTTTGAAATCTCCTCCAGCCGATGGCACGGCAAGCCAGACCAAGGATGCCGCTTTTGAGCTTCCAGGTCCCTGTACATTAAGTCCTTTAGGGAAGATATTATTTGTGCAAGTCTCCTACAGGCCAAATAAATTCTACAAATCGTACGGATTAAAGGAGTGGCATTCACGGCTGCACAATATTCTGAAAGGGAAAAAGAAGGCTCTGCCCAAGGAAACACCAATAATAATGTCACCTTTGGCATTCATCCAGAGTTGAGCCCGCTCATCGTCAGTTTAGCTCTCAGAATTTCACATGCTCAGAATCTTCAACAGATCATTTTCGTGGACCAATAGAACATTTTTAGCACATATCTGAACATGATGTTGTGAACAGCGACCGATTATCAGCTTTACGGAAGAGACTGCGAGGCCTAATTTAATGACATTTGCAGAAGCGAATCCTGGATATCCTGAACAGATGCGACAATTCTTATCGCCAGCAGACTGCCCTCCTGAGTCCCCAGCTTAGATGTTTGAAGGTGCACGATAGACAGTTTCACCAGAATCAAAGATCAGCTGCCTACGCCGACTTTTCAGGCAAGATCTTTGTGGGTAATTGAACTCCATCTGCAACACAAAGATAAACCGGGAACCAACCACAAGAAAGGCTCAAGAAACACTTGGAGAGACAACTCAACCCAATTTTTATGGACGATTGTGTATTTCATTTCCATTGTTTGATTCTAATCTTCTGGGTTATTTCTTTGTTCAATTCTCATCAAACCCACGCATAGCTGCGAAAAAGCATCAAAACCCCTGCATCTTGTAAAATGCATCCGGCTCTAATAATCTGTACCTTGTCCCTCTCAAATTCAGCCATCTAATCTATCCTTGCCAGGTCTGGACTCAAAACTCAAGGATTCTTCTACTCCCCGGTCCGTCCCCAAAAACGCCGATGTAAAGGAGGACGCGGGTTTTCAACGACCTTAGGCCTATCCATTATTAATGCCAAGACGGAAACTTACAAAAACAGTCCCCTTGCTGCAATGCCAGGGCAAGATGTTGCTAGGCCTTAGCTCCATCCCACCCGAACACCTCGTTTAAATCCAACATCTTGCTTCGCAAGCAGGACAGGAATTTCCGTTTGCCATTGGAGCTTCTTTTAACTCCCACTGTTTCTCCATTTATGGTTAAAGGAATGGACTACGACCGCCGCAAGTCGTTCGCTAAAAAGAGAATAATATCTCGTTTGAACTTCCCCCACGGTTACGTTATGGACCAAAATCCATCGCGGCTCGTTTCAATCCTTGCTGATCCAGTCTTCCAGCCGGCCCTCCCTTTTTTGTGAGGTTCTTATGTAAGAGATCGCCCGGGCAAGTTTCGCACTATTTTTCCGGAAGCGAAAGGGAAAAGTTTGAAGCTGGTTCTCTTCCGCTTCGTGCGAACTTTATTTTCTTTTTCTTTTCTTTTTATGTCCTTTGTCGTTGCGTTGATGGCTGGCTGGCTGAGCGAAGCTAGAGAGTTGGATCAGAACTAAACAAGTCCGTTAAGGTAACTTTCAAACCTCCCTTCGTCGGCTGTCCCAAGCTGAATTGATCTGAAAGGAAGCGGGAAATAAAAATGACAAGGGTCTAAAGCTAACAATTCCAATGTAGGCTAAGGCCGGCTGTTTCCTAAAGTTTTTCCTTTTCATGCAGTATGAAGTCATCTGCGAAATCTGAATTCAAAAAGAACCAATAGAACGGAAAAATTGGCCGGATGCTTGAAGTGGGAACAATATTGCCATTTCACAGAGGTGAAAAATGTTAATTGAACAAGAAGGACAGAACCTGTTCGGAAAGTGGAAGAAGACTCCAATTCCAATTCCCGTTGCCTACTCTCATCCTTTCATTTCAATTGATATCCAGCTAATTTCGTTGTTTGCATGCATTCGTAACTCCCGATATTTTGCGTTCGGGTCCCTCGCCTAAGAGAGTATAAGTTCTTTTCCAAACTTTGGCTTCAGTGGTGCTGATCTGATCTGATGCCTTCCAGTGGTTTAAAAACTCTCGAGTTTTGAACTTTTTTGTCCTACATTACCTAGATAAGCCCTGGGGCCTTTTCTCGTGCGAGTTACAAGCTCAGGAACATCTGAATCAGAAAGCGTTGCTGCTGGGAGACTCGGTGAGAGAAGTGTCCCTGGAAGTACCTCTAAATGGGTTCGCAATAGCTGGGACAGCGCATGGCTCAGGGTCATGCATATGGAAGAGAGATATCCTTCCCCATATCTTCCCCAGGCCTTTTATTTTATCGGCTAGTTCATCGATTAACCGTTTCTTCGTCAGGCCTACACTCCAGTACATACATAACGCTTGAATCTCTGCCAAGCAAAGACATTGGGGTCTTTTTTTATTCAAGCGTTGCAACTACATGGCCAACCAAGAGTTCCAAAAAATGTGCCACGATAGGGGAGTGGTTCCCAGTCTGATATGCAAATGGATACCCACAGCTTGGAGAGAAAAGCCATTTATCGATATATTCCCCTAGGAGCTACTCCGTGAATCCTTCTATGAGGGAGGCTATATGGCAAAGAGATGCAACTGCTCCTATCAACAATCATCATACCAAACATACCTATCTATATTTCTCATGATGTCAATGGCGTTGCGCATCTTGCAGCACAGAGCCGTATCTACTACGTTGGTATGGTATAATATTCCGGAATCGTTACCAGCAAGCCTTAAACGCCTGCAAATGGACGAGATGAAACCCCCCTCAATTGACATGATAGAAGTTGCTCCCAAGGGGGTGGGTCTGACACTGAAGAACTCTGGTTTCGATTTCTAATTTCGGTGAACTTGGGTACATAGATCTTGATGTCCAGGAAATAGATCTCTTTACCGCTTCACCCTGTTGTCGTTCTGACAAATTGGCTCTAAAATAAACCGGGACAGGGTCCTGCTTAAGCCCATGCTCATGCTCATGGATTTCCCTGTTTTCAAGAATCCTAGGAAAAGAAACCGGCTCGATTGGGATGGAGAATGGTATCCCCACCTGGTCCAGAACGAGATGTCTCCTTCTTTACAAGTTCAACACCCTAACTTTGTTAATGATAGAAAACGAATTAAAATGAAAGTAGGCGTTTGCTTTCGGTGATAGGAAGCTAGGAGGCTCTCAAACAGCCCAAAAGCATTCAGACCAAGTTGAAGAAAAAGTGACAAAACCTCTCAACAATTGAGAAGAGTCACCTCCCGAGGTACTCCTATCTCGTTTACAGAGCTCTCCTCTTGATATGAATAGACACGCCCCGTTTTGTTTACTCAACGATACTCGAAGAGTCGGCCGACAACCCTGATTTCACGGCCGTGCTCTCCTTTCGAAAACACATAGGAATTGGGATGGCGAAAAATGAACCATCAAATGGACAAGCAGAGGATAGCTAATATAGGTGGACGGGGAATGGATATGCACGGTAACTCAGATACCCCAACTTTCGGTATATTCTTTAGACGTTTAGTTTGGTTCGATCCATGTTTACCTTTTTACGAACGCCTTTCAGCTGTCGATGAATGAATCTGAACGGGTCACTCACGACGCCGGCGCAAGAGACAGCGGAGAGACGGAGAGAGATAGAGAATGAGAAATGAGAATGAGAAATGAGAATGAGAAATGAGAATGAGAAATGAGAATGAGGCCTTCGCATCAATACCCGATAGAGAGTGGTTCTCGGCTATTGGAAAGAAATGAAGAACAGGAAACAAGAGGGGAAGACTGGACACCGGGTATATATATATAATCTTATAGAACTGGTTGGCTGGCTGACATCGCCTTTTTCCTTTTCATCTTTTTCTCCCTTCTACGCTCCCCTACTTCCCTTTTTCAAAGAATAATAAAAGTGAGAATATCCGGATAGTAAGTTAGTAGTAGCCTTGTGGTTCATAGCAACGAACGGGATGGAGGAGGGAAATGAAACCAGGGGAAAAAAAACTAGTAGCCGGGTTCAAGGTTCCGGAAGGGGGTAGTAGGTATTATGAAGGGCAGCATTGCACACACAGTCAGGTTCCCTTTACATAAAAAATAGAAAATAACGAAAATAAAAATAAAAATAATAAAAATCGATGACATGGTGAGATCGGATAACTATAAAACATAGGAAATATTTTTAGAAGATCAAATGCAAAAAGAGAAGCTGATGTAAATCACACTCATCGCAACCCTTTTCTCTCTAACTATCGAGAAGTCTTCTCTTTTCTCAAAAGATATGGTTCTTCTCAACAACGAACAATTAAAGGGGTAAGTAAGGTAACACAGATGGATATCTAGATGGCTTGGAGTCTTTTGCGACGGAGATGAAGCAAGGGTCTCCGAAAAGCGAAGAAGGGATAAACCGCAGAGTAGCGTTACACTCTACTCTGGTGGGAAAAAAAAGAAAAAGGAGACCGAGCCTGGTTTTCTTTGTTTGATTTTCTTTTGATTTTTGACTCTTTGACTTTTATTATCTTTTTTACACCCTTTTTCAGCCCTCTTCGTGGATCCATGGGATGGAAACAAAGACCCCATGCTTCTCGGTCGCTCACCGAGACGTTCGTCGTAACTAACCTGGAAAAGAGACCTGCCTGCACCGAGACTGGGGATGGATTGGGTAGATATCTATATACTACTAGGGTACTTTGCGTGTAAGTATAGTACGTAGAAGCAGAGCGCATCAGCCCCTTTTTGCACCCTTGCATAAAAGATATGATTGAACATGGATTCTCACATACATAGATACGGTCCACACGGTATGCATTTCCATACAAGGGATGCAATACGCCGAGGGAAAAGAAAATATGGATAGATAGACATTGTTACAGGTGTGTATGAATTCCTTCGAAAAGGGAAAAAAAAAAGGGAGGGGGGGGGGAGATGAAAAAGAACTGCCTGTGTTAATACACTGCTTTTCCTGTGAAAGCGGATACCAACATGAGCAAAACACTATAATCCTGAGTCGCTCTTTTGTTCGCTGTTTTACTCTTTTTGATATCCGCCCTAAAGACCATGTTTGTACGTGGACATCTCTCCTTGTGGCGGGAAAAGAAAAAAAAAAGATAGAAGAACCCTATATGCATTCTCCGTGATAGTCCCGACAGACGGCGACGACATAGGCAAAGTACGATAGATAGTACACACAAAGCTTGAAATCCATTTGGGTATAAAATCTAAAATCTAACATGCGTCAAAAGATTAAACTATAAATTTGCCAAGAAAGGAAAGCAATGCCGGAAACCGTTCGTAGGCTAAAACTTATTCAACAAAAAAGAAAATAACTTTTGTTTATTCCTCCGTATTCCTTGGATGCTATGCTTCCCATGATTCGTCTTGAGGAAAAGGGCGTGCGGGTCGAGAAGGCCACGTATGTTTCTATGTATCATGATCGTTATCATCGCCATGGTCCAGCTCCGTTGCGCTGGGTCGTGTGTCCCGGCCGAGAAAATATGTTTTGCGGCGACTGATTCGTGCATCGAGCACCAAAAAAAGAAAAAGAAAGCCATTTGGCTGGTTGTCATTCGTCTAAAATTGGTAAATTAGATCTCTTTTGCTATTTTTTCTGCCTCTTCCTGGTAGGGATTGCTGCATGGAGTGGTCCGTTGTTTGACTTTGCATAGCTAGGCCACCTTGTCTTTTCTTTTTCCATGGTGCTGTTTTATTTCATCTGCTTGATACTGTTATCGCTTGATAATTGTGACTGTACAGAAATTTCAAATTAGCATTGCACTTGGGTATGAGACAGAGGGGATAGGGAGGAGAGGAGTTGGTTTCGCATACTTATGTCCTCATCTGCAAGTTCATGACTGAGTCCCACTCTTTGTGGTTGATGTTTGACGGAACGACCATAAACGATTGCATGTTTGAATTGTTCTGCGATGGTTTTATGAATGGAATTACACTTGAGGAAAAAAACAGTTAGCTCTGTAACTAGGATTGCGGGTCCAAGTAAGTCCCCAACATGAGATCAATTGATTAAAACCTACGAAATCTTCAACGGTGCAAGCATTACGCCGCAGAACGACCGGGGACGAATAATCTGGAGTTTTCCCCTTGGGTTTTGTATAGACTCTCCTGAGATCGAGTTTCTCCCACATGAGCTCGAGCAATTCATCAATGTTCCACCCATGCTCAGAACTGATCGGGCACGCATTCGGGATTCGATAGAGCAGGTCCAATTCCTCAATTGATATAGCATCGATCTTGTTCAATGCATAAACAACGGGGATATAACTCCGACTCCTCGCCTCGAGCACGTCGATAAGGTCATCAATTGTCGCGTCGCACCGAATCGCAATGTCCGCAGACGAAATCCGATATTCGCTCATCACAGCTTTAATTTCCTAGCAAACCACATGAATGAGCAAAAGGCTCCTCCAAAATCCACTGGGTCAAACTTACATCATGATCAATGTGCGTTAAGGGCACGGTACTCGTGATGGAAATGCCACCCTTGTCCTTCTTCTTAAATACGATGTTCGGTGGAGACTTGTTAATCCGGATCCCAAAGCCTTCCAATTCCGCTTCAATGATTTTTTTATCCGTCAGGGGCTTATTCACGTCCAAAACGATGAAGATGAGATTGCAGGTCTTGGCAACGGCAATAACCTGCCGACCTCGACCTTTGCCATCTTTTGCACCTTGAATGATACCAGGAAGGTCGAGAATTTGGATTTTCGCGCCATTATATATCACCTGGCCAGGAACAGTCGTTAGGGTCGTGAATTCATAAGCGGCAGCTACAAAAGGAAAAGAAATGCTTTTAGAAACCTTCCCGCATTAAGTCACTGGTATATCCATGCGATTTTCGACGTACCCTCAGAATGCTGTCCTGTTATTTTGCTCATCAAAGTGCTCTTCCCGACAGATGGGAAACCGATAAACCCCCTTTAACACACAAAAAAGAAGTCGATTAGTGAAATGATGCCAACAACCATGCTGAGATCAGATTCAGAACGTACACGCTCGCTACTCCCGTGCGAGCAACATCGAAACCAACTGATGGAAGAGGAAAAGAACACCGTCAGTAAGCATTTGTATACAATGACGCCGGGATAAAGACAGATAAGAAAGCATGAGGGAGAAAAATATATAAAAAATAACTTACGTCCACCGCCACCACCGCTAGAGGTAGGTGTAAGAAGCTCTCTCTTTAGCTTCGCAAGCTTAGCTTTCAATTGACCTGCAAAAATAAAATAGATTATCAGCCCATCAGCTTCGGCATATCTGCACGGCCTACCCCGCTTCCCGAGCTATTGCATCAATAATGCAAAACGTACCTAAATGATACGACGTGTTCTTGTTTTTTTGAGTCCGAGCCATCTAGAGGGTGGTTAACTTCGGGGGAGTCCCCAGTTTCCGAAAGGTCATGGGTGGGTAGCAAGGCTTACTTCGGTCTCGATCTCCTTGATCTAATGGGTGCCAGCATGTGTCAGTTGGCAAGTATATCCAGGTGTGTTACAGTTGAAGCGCGGGGTTGGGGATGAAGGGGGAGGGCAGAACGGACCTTGTCCACAGTTGTCGCCATGCTTGCGGATTTGTAACTTTCGTCTTTCTATAAAGCAGAACAGGTATTGGAATGGGGTACTCAAAAAGCGGATGAGGCCAGCTCTATCTATACAACCTGTCTTGCTATCAAAGAGCGGAGATTTTGCGTGGACTTCGGTGTCAATTCGATTTTGATGTTGGGATTTGGGCGCCGGAAGTTCAATAATGTCGCTGAGTCATTTATTAGTCAGGCTTGGCATTGACCTCGCGTGGAATTCCCAAAAGGTTCCAAGGATGGTCCCGAACGGTTCCGGAAGTCGCTTAGTGTCGGATTAACAGGGGCAAAATTCGGGGAATCGGCTCATCGGGGGCTTCCAACTTTGGTTTTAAGGCTCCCAGTTGGGGGAAGTTAGGGTTAGACGAACCGCTGGGCGACGTTAAGATTTCCCTTGGGCCGTTATAGAACTGCGAAATATATATAGGGGTATATGGGGCCGGGCTCGAGTAGTAGCCACCGTGTGCTTTTCGTTCCTGACCGCCTGTTCAGCTAGTAGTATCTATTTTGCACCCAGGTGCCGCCTCCCGCTTGTTCGGCTCAGTCTGGTCTGGGCTCTTTCCTACCCGCGTGATCGAGTTCTCCATCCATCTGATAAGATTTCTCCGCCGCCTCCGCCTCCTACCTGCGCCGTGGTCCCACTGCATTCATTCATATAAGAGACCCTGCACCCAGCCCGCCGTAATTCTTAAATACCTCATAGGAACTATCTTCCTCGCCGTACTCCTCGAACCACGTTCATCTTTCTACTCTCGTTCTCAATCTCCAGGCCCAAGTGCACAGGTCCCGACACAATGCCGTATCTCGTGAACGGCGACTCCTCGCCCGAAGCCTCCCCCGTCGATGCATTCCACAGCTTAGTAGAGGACATCAACACAGTCCTTGGCCCTAGCTCAGGTCTAGATTCCGACGACGTCGATCCGATGGATATCCAGAAGCTCATGGAGGACTATACCTCCAACGAGAGTGAATGGGAACGGTATGCCTTTGGCGATGCTGGAAGAGCATATACGAGAAATCTGGTCGATGAGGGCAATGGTAAATGTAATCTGGTGAGTCATAGGCACGGATGGGCTTGGCGATGTTTGGAGTCATTGATCGATTGATGTCCATGATGCTTCGGGGGTGAAACATGCTAACGGCGAGGGTATATAGCTTATTCTCGTCTGGAGCCCTGGAAAGGGAAGCGCCATTCATGACCATGCCAACGCCCACTGTGTAATGAAGGTTAGTACCATTAGCTGGAGCCCGGTTTGTTTTTGACCCCGATTGAGGGGAAATTTCTCACTGACATTATTCCCGTCACAGGTACTAAAAGGGTCCCTGCGAGAGACGCAATATTCATGGCCCGAGGAGGACAAGGTACAGAAGGGGGAGCCATCACCCTTGTCCATAACCAAGGACACCGTGTATAAAGAAAACCAAGTCACTTACATGTCAGATAAGGTGAGGATAAGACGTGGACCAAGCTCCATCCTATTTTTAGAAACTTTCTGGGGAGAACATACACTAACAAGCTTAAAAACGAAAAGCTCGGCCTGCATAAGATCTCTAATCCTGACCCTGACGATTTTGCTATTTCCCTTCACTGTAAGTTCATCACTTGCCCAAACACGTGCCATCCCTCTTGCTGCATTTCGATTCATGGGAACGATTTTATCTTTTTCCATCTTCTTTGGAGGTAAACCTAACCTGGTGACAGTATACACACCACCAAACGCTGCTCATTATGGGTTTTGCCTTTTTGACGAGAAGACGGGCAAGTCGCGACACATCAAACAATCCATGTTCTTCTCCAGCAAAGGACACAAACTATGATTTCCGTGTCCTGCGAGAAGGGTCAACGAAAGTTGTCCCTGGTCTAGGTATCCGCTCTAGAAGTTGTAAATGAATGAAATGCGGGACGATAAGTGTTCTTTGCGCTGGAGCCCCGTTTTAATGAACCTTTCTGGTCTGGTGTCTTGGGGTATTGCAACTATTTCGGGTTTCGGGCTTGCGCTATAAATGACGTGATTTCATCCTAACGCCAGATGCATCTTAGCTCGTCTTCAACAGACCGGGGGTTTCGTGTGGACGACATACGCAGTACGGCGTATATTTTCATCACCCCAGCTACACGGCAAAACTCCCAAGGCGAGAGCCACTATTATTATTCTTAGAGCCGTTGTAATTAGCATTTTTATCCTCCTCTCCTTGTTTCAGAGAGTTTAGCCCGTTCTTCTTTTCTTTTTTTCAATCCATGCCCACTCCACTCTCCTCAATCAAATATATGTAGAGTTATTAGTTACACGTTCTCAGTAATTCTCCATGAACAGCGCCTTGCCACATTTAATATCAACCCCAAAAATAGTGCTGAGTACTCTATAGATTTCAACGAGCAACCAACAAAAGAGGAAGCGCATTCCACCGTTAGTGGCCGTCCTTCCGGCCTGGATGTGTGCTTCAAATTTAACACACACAGAGAGAGAGGGATTTCAAGACGAGATAAGCCGTATTCAGTCACAGGTGAGGTCAACTTATGTTTGAATCGATGTAGACGTTATTGTGGATAGATATTTCTATGTAAATGCGATCGTCTCCCTTGTCTGCTCCTCGCGGCCTTGTTTCCTATTAAGTTTGTTGATTTATTTGATTGATTCAAGCTTGGTTGGGTGTTTGTTTAAATTTGAGACAGATTCTTCGTCATTTGTCTCAGGAGCCTTGACGGATGTAATAATGTACTGTCCATGTACATGTACATGTACTCCGTACATACATTATTATTACGGTCTGTACTCCGTACATGTATGTACATACACTGCGTCGCTCCTACCCCCGACGTTATGCTGTCCTCTCCACCAACCGAGCCCCAAGCCTATCGCGGTTAAGCTTTGCGCCGAGTCGCTTGGCACGCGTCTAATCCCTGTCGATTCGTCACCCTTGGAGGCCAGACCTCGCGCTTACCGCTTTGGGGGCCTTGACATATTCCGAGAGGTTGGCTCGCTCTCACTGTCGCATCAGAGCGTTCATCGTCCTAGCACTTCCAGGAGTGGCTGAACAAACTTGCGCCCTAGGTACTTTTTTTCTTTTTTTTTTTTTTTTTCAGGGCAAAGGATCCTTCTTGCCTATAAAATTTAACTGCTTGGCGCTGGATCACGAACAGCACCCTCCCAAAATCACAGTTTTATTTACCTTGAACCAAATACGCCGGCCCAAAGGCTACATCTATACCTTCCCTTTTACGCCGTCCCTCAAAAATGCCATTGCTCTCTTCCTGAATGCCGCCCATTTTCGCCCTACACATGTCCGGACCGTTACTTGTCAATTGGGGATGCGAACGCAACGGTTTGTCGTCCTTTTGGCGGTCGTCTGCCTCGTAGGGCTTTCGTTTGTGCTACTGGGCCATCCAGTGCCAGCTGGGAGAGTGAAAGAAAGCGGGAAGAACAATCCGTTATTCATCCCGACTGAAAACCGTCCCAAAAATGTCGACCATCAGCGGCAGCAGCAGCAACAACAACAACAACAACAACAACAACAACAACAACCGCAGCAGCAGCAGCAGAAACAAAATATCCCTCACGAACATCCTATCACCGTCACAGACAAATCCCATCCAGTCGCCCAGCTATTCGATAACGCGAATAGAAAGTTCGAGAATGTCCGTGCCAGACAATCCGAGACGCTCAAGGATGCGGTGGAGGAATACCGACGTCGTTACAAGATGCCTCCCCCACCGAGATTTGACGCGTGGTTCAACTTTGCACAGAAGCGGGGTGTGAAGTTGATTGACGAGTACGATACGATATATCATTCTCTTCTCCCGTTTTGGGGACTGGAACCCCAATTAATCCGAACGAGGGCGAAGGAGGTTATTGGTTTTGATAATGGGGTTATCGCCGTCTTGATTCGGAGTGGCAAGGTTTCTAAAATAGCCGGTGGGGGTGAGGGTATTATGTGGAAGCGAGAGGCACTGAAGAACATGTTGGAGCGATTCGTCAAATACCTGCCTGACATGGATCTGGCCTTTAACATCCATGATGAACCTCGGGTCGTTGTTCCATATGATGACCTACAGCGTTTGGTGCTTCGTGCCGTAGATAACGCTCTGCCGAAGGCCTTTGCGAACGCCTCCCCGAGAAACTCCTGGTCACCACGGCCCAAGGACTTGAACAAAGGCGATAGGGTCGACGAGGTCAGGATCACGCGATTTAATCGATTTGCACATCAACCCACATGGACCATTTCGCGCATGTCCTGCCCTGTGGATAGTCCCGCGCGAAGCCTCGACGAAACAGCTGCCGACAATATAACCGCTTACTCCTACTCGCAGCTTGGCTTCATTTACAACACCACTGCTTTCTCAGATGTGTGCTTGACCCCTTCCCTCCGCCACACGTTCGGGTTTTTCGACCGCCCCAATGCGTTTGATGTCACTCATGATCTCTTCCCTATCTTCTCGCAGAGCAAGGTGTCTAGTTTCCAAGACATTCTATATCCAAGCCCGTGGTACTGGGCTCAAAAGGTTCCATACGATGCTACGATGGATTACGAATGGGATAATAAACAGGAGCAAATGTACTGGCGCGGGTCAACAACGGGCGGCTTCTCCAGAGCAGGGGGTTGGCGGCGACAGCACCGACAGCTATTCGTCAAACGGATAAACGGGTGGGATACGGCAAAGGTCTACGAACGATCCACCACAGCTGCAGAAGACAATGCATGGACCCTCAAGGACGTCGCACGGCGAAAATTTAAACACATCTTCAACGTCAAGTTCAGCCATATCGGCCAATGCGATCCAGAAGATTGCAAAGCGCAAGCCGAGTTCTTCGACGTTGTGCAATCTGCTGCCCAGCAGGATGCGTGGCAGTACAAGCATCTTGTCGACATTGATGGGAACGCGTTTAGTGGCCGCTACTATGCGTTCCTGCAGAGTAATAGCTTGGTATATAAGCTTGCGGTTTTCCGCGAGTGGCATGATGAATGGCTCCGTGCGTGGGTGCATTATATTCCCCTGAGTCTGCACGGGGATGAGCATGTGGAAACTGTACGATATCTTGCCACAGAGAAGGAAGGCCAGGCCATTGCGCGAACGTTGGCGGCTCAGGGGCAGGAGTGGGCACAGTCAGCGTTACGAAACGATGATCTAGAGGTGTATTTTTTTAGGTTGTTATTAGAGTGAGTTTCTTGCCTCTAGACCACACAGCCGCCCCAACCATTCCCCGTGTTATTTTATTTTATCTCTTTTAATCTTTCGGGTCCGAGTAATTACTAACCGCGTGACTACAATTTAGATATGGGAGAATTGTGGATGACAACAGGGAAAGTATAGGATTTTCTCCCTAACCTAATTGCAAGAGGAAACGGACCCATGAGGCGCCAGATTTGCATTTTTGCTCTGGGCAGGTGGTGTATCTATTTATATCTACGCGTACATACTCTTTTTCTTGGTTCTGTTTTTAATTGTCAAAACGTCGTCTTTTTTTTCCTGCTACATACCATATTTATTATCTCTTCTCACCGGGGCCGCCTAGGAAAACTGTTCCCTCCCCACTCCCCATCATAATTCTTGGCCCTCTCTCTCCCATCCACCTTCCTCGTTCCCTCTAACTCCTCGGCCCGGCTCCAGAGAACGTACTTAATATTCGGTTCGCCGATGAGCCAGCACATAGCATACCGCAACCAGCATGGAGCACGCACCGTGCATCGTGCAGTACTTATTTTCTCCCTTCCCTTTCCTTTCTTGAGCATTCGCGTGGTGTAATGAAAATTTGCAGCATTTAGTCGTTGAATCTTGCATTTTTCTTGTATTCGCCTTTTTTTTTTGGTTTTGGTTTTGGCTTTTTACCTTTTTCCCCCCCTTTTCAGTCTCACCTTGAGGTCTAATTCTCCTGCTCTTACATACCTATACCCTTTTATTATTTGTATATGGTTTTCTATTTTTTTGTAAAATAAAGATAGATAATCTCTCGGCATGGGAAAATTCTCTTGACGAAGCGGCGCGCTGCTGTCTCCTAATTTTCTTACTTGCCATGTGAATTCCTCTCTTTCTTGCTTTCTTTTTATTCTTTCTTTCCCCCCCTTCCATTTTCACATTCAAGGATGACATGTTGGTGCTAGGTTGTGTAGATGATGGGAATTGGATGTTAGAAAACAGACTGTATCTGATTGCTCCTTAATGTACAGAGATGTTGCACATAGGAAATGTGTATAGGCAGGTATTTTTATCTACTAGCTTTTGATTCCCGTATATAATTAGTTTATACAAACTTAACATGTGCCAAAAAGTTCGAAACAACAATTTCCTTACGTGCAAAAGGCAACATGACCCAGTTCCTCCAGGCCGAGGCAATGACGTCACTTCCTCCTCCTCCGGCCATCGGCCATCGGTTCCAACACAACGATCAAACTTGGCCACTCTCACACAACCTCATTACATCCAACACTGCCATATATCAACCCCATATTTTGTCACAGAACTACGTGGATCATATTCTCATTATTAGCAGTTATTGGCCAAATCGTCTCTTGCGGGAAATCCGAGCAAATCTCAAAGCCAAAGCAAAAACGCTATCGTCGCTCTTCAGTGAAAGATGTAGCTGCGCGCCCCCCCTGTCCCCTACCCGTGACGGGAATCTATATCCAGTTAAACCACAATAATCCATCCCCAACGTGTGTCTTTAAACCTGGTCTACCAAAAGCTATCCGAGGTAAGAAAGCCGATCTCAAGTTTGATCTTAGTTTCTTACATGTACCATTGATTGATAGCTGATCAGGCTTCAGTATTATCGGTCTGTGGACTGTAGCGAAAAAGGGGGCTAAGCAGGGGGTCCCGACTGAAGCTAGGGCTATGATTTCGCAGCCTTTTGTTGGTCTGTAGTGTGGACAAGAAGTATAAAAGCTGAACAAAAGGCACTTGCTAGGTGGCATGGAAGAGTAGCTGGGTAGGATACTACTTTATATGCTTTGGGAGCGCTGATAATCGAACGAACGGAGTTTTACTCTGCATTCCCTTTCGTCTTCTTCGCCTGCTACTCGTCTTTTTCCTTATCTACCTACCTCCGAAGACCGAATACCGATATACCCACACTGTGCCTTCCACAAATCTCTTCACATTATTATTCTGCCCACGATAATATACTCCGCTCGAAAGCTGGAATTAGGGTTAAACGCCGTGCCCCCTAAAAACTCTTACTGTATCTGAGCTGCGAGCTGTAATAATTAGAAATAATGGGGGAATCTTCACCCTTTGTCAGGGGTCTACTCGCGACCCTCATTGCGTGCTATGGGGTCTACACCTTTTTTACGTACGGAGTCCTTGCGATCTGGTCAGGGACTTTCTTCCACCGGACGACAGAAAAGGAGAAATTGGAGTCATTACTAGGTAAGGAATATCTGATATCCAGTTATAAATAGTACAGATTTTTTTGGCTTAGTCTGGAATTACGACTCGCCTAGCTATGTCTAATTCTTGCTGAGGGAGAAAATTAAAAGGAGAGAGACAAGGCAAATAAAGTGTGAGAACTCAAATCGGCTAATTTCGATTTAATCAAAAATATGTAGCGAAGGACCGCCTCTGGAACCTCTCTAAGCAATGGGAAGGTTTCTCTCACCACTTCATAACCCTACGGGACGGCTTCAAGTTCCACTACGTCGCTAATGACTCCGTCTCAAATCGTAAATCATCACCAAGACTGAGACCAGCAAAACCACTTGTCATTTTCGTTCACAGCTTCCCGGATAGCTGGGCGATATGGCGACACATTCTGCCCTCCTCATTACTCTGGGAGCGCAGCTCTATCGTCGCAGTTGACCTGCCCGGCTACGGCGGGACCGATTCTCTGCCAAGGTATAGCGCGACGGAGGTCATGGAACATTTTGCTGAGTTCCTCATCGCCATTCGACGGAAGTATGGGATTGATTCGGATGATGATGATGGGCCTATCAGACCCATGGATGTGAAACGGCCGGCCGGGAAGGTCATTTACGTCGGGCATGATTGGGGCGCTTTGTTGGGCTTCCGCATTGCTTCGGAGGCACCGAAGTTGGCGAATAGGTTTATATTGACGAATGGCCCACTGGTATGTTTGGCTTTTATGAGGCTATTTTATTTTGCTTTGTGCAATCCGATCTAGCTGGCTAATATATTGTTAAATCAGCTCCCTTTAGCGAAGTCAAATCTCATCCAGACATGGGAATCCTCGGCAAAAATGTTCAAGACATTCCTCCGGAACCCATTCCACTCCCACACCCTTCTTCTCCAGGCAATATCTAGACTGAAGCCTTTGCTCCGCCAAATGGTTCTATCCGGCTACATTTTCATATTCCAGCTACCCATGCCCATGGTACGTTACACGGGCAGTGGGGGCAACTATTCATTCTTGAAAGCGGTGCACATCCAAGCGGCAGGGAACGTGGTTGAATTTACCGTCCGGGACGCCCAAGAATCCATGGCAAGCACTCTCGGTCCCGGCGACGCGGAATTCAAAACAGCAACAGAAGACGGAGAGCACTATCCACCCAGCGTCGCCCGACGTATCCAGATAGGCAGCTTCGGCGACACGGCCTCCTACTACCGCCACGGCGCCGCCGTAGGCACCTGGCATAAGTCACTCGAGACCATCTCGGCACTATACAATCTTGGGGAGCCACGGCGGACCAGCACGGGGATGGCTATGCAGGATGGGGTCCCCGGGGCGCTCCAGGCAAACGCGACCGTTTTATGGGGGGAGCAGGATACGGCGCTGGACCCGCACGTGATGCTGGAAGGGATTGCAGATTATCTTGTGCATGGAAGCCAGGTGGTGATGTTGCCGCGGACGGCGCATTTTTCTCCAATGGAGGTGGAAGGGCGGAGGGCTATTGAGAAGGTGGTGGAATGGGCTGTTGCCGGTGAGAAGGAGGATGTGGGCGCGGTGGTTGCTGGTGTGTATCCGGGCACGGTTGTGACGGTGAGAAAATGAATGGATAGATGGATGGTATGAGATGAGAATGATTGCACTTATGTCTATGAGCTGTTGTGGATTGGGGAGAGAATGGAGAAGGGGGGGGTTTCAATTTCCCATGCTACACAGAATGAGATAAGCACAAACTTAACTGTATTTGGAATTGGATTCTGCAACAAGTACCTAAGCGGAATGTATTTATCTGTGCTGCGTGGCATCAATGAATAGTTATCTCTCTTTTTGCCTCATGGATTTGAATCTGATTTCTTTCTTTTTTTTTTTTTTTTTTTAAAAAAAAAAAAATGCATGATATAATCAACCCCGTTTCAAGCCGCCAAGTAGCTAACTACTTAACTAGTTAAATAGCTGCCGAACTAGCTCCCCTTTTTTTGAGCCGCTGTACAGAAGTATTTTGGCCGAACTCTGTCATTTTTTCCAATTGGCCCCCTGTCATAGTTACATGTAAGCCTGCAAAAAAATGATTTCCCCCTCTCCTGCTTTTGTCTCAAATAACAATAACACCGCCAATAATGGTTCATACAGAACCCATTTTTCCACCCTTGTCTTTCCAGGTGTAAGTGCAATAATAACCGATTGAACAATTTCCCCAGGTACCAGGCAATCCAATCCGGCGATCCAGGTAAGTTCGAGCCGGATCTCCTGGCCACCGAATTGCGGGGCAAAAGCTTCCTCTGGAGCAACCTTCATAGCAAACCAGTTTGAATCTGGCTGGCTATATTCTCTCATATCCCCTCATCCATTTTTATTTTTATCATCTCTCCCTCTATCTTCTCCCCAGCGGCGCCACTCAGAGAGTCATCGCCACCACCACCACCACCGCCGCCATGGAAGACCCAGGTGAACGTGAAGCTGTTTACTGCACCGTGAGTTGATACATCTACGGGAATGTACATTCACTACGTATGTTAATGGGTACCTGAACTAACGAGCTTTGGATCCAGATGCTTCTCAGCGATAGTTACCTCCCAGGTAAATAATGAAGATGCGCGAGAATCAAACCTGCTATTCACAATGCACAAACAATGGTTTTTTGTTCTCTGCTCATTATAACATCGTTGTATAGGTGCAATGGTGCTGGCCCATTCGCTGCGAGACACCGGCTCCAAAGCGAAGCTCGTCGTGCTGGTTACGCTGGACTCTTTGAAGTCTTCAACGATCGATGAGCTGAAAGTATATCTTTTCTTTCCTTTAATGCGTAAAAAAAAAAAAAAGAAGAAGAAGAAAAAAAGAATAAAAAATATTCGTTCGCTTCTTTAACACTGTGTCACTAACTGCTGCCCAACTCAAAAAACAAACCAAAAAAGACCATCTACAACGATATAATCCCCATCACTCAATTCGTCAATCGAAACCCCGCAAACCTATACCTAATGGACAGGCCAGACCTAATATCGACTTTCTCCAAAATAGAGCTCTGGAGACAGACCCAGTACAGTAAGATCGTGTACATCGATGCCGATGTCGTATCTCTTAGAGCCCCGAACGAGCTCCTCAAGCTCGTTTCCCGCTTTGCCGCCGTGCCTGATATTGGCTGGCCGGACTGCTTCAATACTGGGCTCATGGTACTCACTCCCAACATGCAGGATTATTACTCTCTCCTCGCTCTTGCCGAGCGAGGGATTAGCTTTGACGGTGCAGACCAGGGCCTGCTCAACATGCATTTTAAGAAATGGGATAGATTGAGCTTTGCCTACAACTGTACACCGAGTGGGCATTATCAGTATATCCCCGCCTTCCGCCATTTTGGCAGCAATATTAGCCTAGTGCATTATATTGGCAGGCGGAAGCCGTGGAATTTACCCCGCCAGGCGTTTCCGTTGGAGAGTCCGTATAATCAGCTTTTGGGGAGGTGGTGGGCTATGTATGATAGACACTATAGACCGGTGGTATGTATCGATTGCGTCTTTCAATGTGTATGGTTTCGAGTTTGATGGAAATATTACTGATTGCGTTCTCAGGCCAAACCTACCCCTCACCTTACAGATGGAGCTGACATTACTACGGATCAGGAAGCTTCTGGACGAGAACCCCAAGCTCATGGAGTGCAGATTCCCACACGGTCCTGTGGGCGTGATCGTGATCAGCTATCTAAACCATTGGAAATAATGCATATCTCGGAGCAACTCTACACACAAGGTCATCCACAGACTCAATCCTACCCGCCTGATCCTTCCGCTCCCGTTCCTGCTCCCGCCGAAGCTGCAGTCCAAACTGAAGCTAATGGAGTTACCCAGCAACACGATGAGCGGGGCGACTTTGAGCCATCCCGCTTCCCTGAAATTTCACGTGTAATTGATGGTGCTTCAGTATTAGAGAGCAGTGCAGTTGGAGCCAGGCCAATTAGTCCGCCCTCACAACCTAAAGCCCCTGAAAAGAATCATCATCTTGTCATCAGCGCTGTCCCCCAATATGTCCATGGCGAAGAGCATGTATCTGCCTACCGACACCCTCTTTCTTTTCCTCTTGATCCCCCTTCCGACTCAAAGGAAGTGCCAAATCTCAGAAGTATTCCTACTGCTGACATAACAGACGTACCTATACATCATCATCTCCCACGGGAGCTAACTGACCCGATAAATCAGCCACAAGTAGAGCAAATTATTACCTCTTCCCAGGAGCCCGAGCCGTTGAAGGTAGCTCCGGAGATACCATTCTCGCTGCCAAGAGCGGAATGGGATCCTTCCCGGTATGTATCTCCAAATATAAATAACGAAGCAAAAATAATGGTCCCGGAAGCCATACCATTACTGATAGTAAAACTATAGAGCACCTCCCCCCGTGGATTCTAAACCAGAGGCATTTAATTTACCCTCACAAACATACACTATGTCGCAGGACATGCAACTTTTCCAACCACCAAGTTTATACCCGGAAGCCCCGAAAGATATGTACTACCAAGTACCCCCTAGACAACCAGAAACAAAGCCTCTAGCTCCCGTATTCCCGTGGGAGGCTTACGCCCCAAAACCTACACGTGTTTTCCTGGACGAATCGACAGAACCCAATGCAAAAACAGAATCTCATTCGAAATTATTAGCCAAAGGCGAAGATAAAATAGGCGGCTCCACAGGACCAGCGTCCGCAGGCTCAGTACCTTCTGAGGACCCGTGGTTAAGCTACACTCGCTCGAACGCATGGGACGAAGTTCCCGAAATTGAGAGATATATGCGTTCCCTCCAACGGCCCCGGAGGGGCCAAATCCAGGTCTTAAAATCCGGGGCAACCAGCACCACAGGAGACCGTTCCGGAACAGAAACTAAACGTCGAAGGCCCAGCCTACTACTCACCGATTTCCCCACGGAGGCAGAGCGGCCCAGCCTCCCAGTAACACCGGCACCTATTCCGCGCTCGCAATATATGGACGAGTCCGATTCTGAGTCTACTGGAAGAGACAAAAAGAAATGGGGAGGAAGGGGAGCAGCGGGTAGTAGTGGTGCTGATGACAGTCTGCCGCTTGCCGCCGGAGTCCCATCGCAGGATAACTGGGTGCGTTTCACGATCGATGCGTTCGTGCAACTTCTTGGGGTGACCTACTTATTCTGGAGACTTACAGAACCCCGTGGAGCGCCTGGAAGAACTCCACCGGCGCCAGTCTGCGTTACTTGATGAGACGCGTGGTGGGCCGCCGGAGCTTGAGGTGAGAGAGATTCCGAGGCGGAGGATGCCCGGAGAAGGAGGTGGTGGTGAAGAAGAAGGGAGGGGATAACCAGAATGGATGAATTCTGTGGCTTTCGGTTATTATATACAGCACATGTACACTGTACATACAATACATTTTTTGTACCTCGTTCCCCAACTTCCAAAGCCCTTTTCCCTTGGATCTTGCATTGCATGCTATGCGACCTGGACTTCGTGAAAGACGTTGTATACTCTATGCTTTGAACGATGGAATGAAAAATTTACCTGTTTGATAGCGATAAGTTCTGAGATTATCCAGCATTCGATTCGTCTGGAGTGTCTTCCCGCACAATGAAATCATGTGGATCGTTCTCTTTTATTAGCGCTATTGTTTATTACTTATTCCTATCATCATGATTACTTTTTGGCTGTTTCATTTCCATCGTTCGTCTCGCCATTATTTTTGCCTGAATTTATCCTTCAAGCTTTCCGCGGTTGCCATTTCAAATTTTGGGGACTGATCTGATTGCTTATCCCTGATATACCATTACTGGTTGATACTAGCTCATATATCATCTGCAATTTCAAAGCTCTCTTCTCTCTATAGCATTATCTTTCAGGCTTACTTACTCTCCCTTATAGCACCATATTCTGACTTTGTGCATCCCCACCCCCTATGTCTATGTCGTCACCATCTATCCTCTTTGTCCATCCATCATAGCAAACCCATCCATCCGCTGTATCTTTGGATCTTAAATACACATCCCATCTCCTTCTGGTCATGTCTGTTTATCTCTTGTCATGGCAAAGGGATCTTTTCCCCCCTCCATGCTAACGCTTACTCCGTCCCAGCAAACACAGAAAATCCAGCCCCCAGAAAAATGAAATCTCAGCCCCACAACCTCACGGCATTCTCTCTAACCATATCCCCAATAACATATCCAAAAAGGAGTATATCCATTTCATCTCACGACCAACATCCTGACCACCCAACTCCCCACATCCACCCCATAAATCACCAGAGCCTGCACCACAAATCTCCTCGCATGCTCAACATGAAAATACACAACCCCCAAAAGAAGCATAACGAACGCAACATGCAAAACATACGCCCCCCTCTTCGACATCCGTCCCGACGAACCCGATCGTGCCGTCGAACTTCCCTTCCGCCTCACCCATCCGCTCGTCCCCCATAGTCCAACCAAAGCGAAAAACGCCCAGATCCCAAATTGCACATCGGAATCATTGAGCCGCGTCTCCAGCACCCCGTTCTCCGCGAAGAAAATGAGATAGAGTAGGGAATGCAGGGAGATGAGGGCGGGGATGACTAGGCGGCCGAACAGGCGGTGGTAAGGGGTCAGATGGGTCTGGGGCAGCAGGAGGAGGTTGGAGCAGATGAGGTTGAAGGGGTTGGTTGTTGTGGAGAGTTTGGGGGAGAGGAGGAGGTTGAATGGGATTGTGGCCAGGGTGGTGTGGCCGAGGGATTTGGTTAGGTGGAGGTAGTCTTGTTGTTTTAGTGTCAGTACAGGATTGGGGGTTTGTGTTATTGGGTGTGTTGTGTATATATATTTGTGGGACAACAGGGGATTTTTTATTTTTATTTTTTTTATTTTTTTCTATTATTTTGCATTGTATGTATAGAGAAAATATAGAGAGGGGAGGGGTGAAGGTGAAGGAAACAGTGATTATCCATACCATCACCCGTCCTCCAAGCGGAAAGCGCCAGCAACCATATCATCCATACCGCCGCAACGAGATACTGTCCCCTCGTCTCGCCCCCGCCGCGCATGAGCGGGGAATCTAACCACGAGGGCGCTCCCCTATCCGTAGCGGTGTCATTGCCATTGCCTCTACTCCTGCCACTGCCTCTGTTTGCTCCGAACCTATACACACTGAATAGTAGAAGTAGAACGAGGGTAGATAGCTGGGCGTATTCACCGCGTAGGTTGAGGAGCTCGCGCCGTTCGCGGAGCTGTTCGGGCGTGGGAGATGTGTAGCGGTAGTACACGAGGGATGAGAGCCATGAATTTGTATCTGAGGAAGACATGGCTTTTTTTTTCGCTGGGTTGTTCAGCGTGTTCGGTGAGGCTGGTGAGCCTGAAACTGAGGTTGTCACACCCGTGGGACGGGATGCCAATGGGAATATAAAGAGAAGGGGGGTATGGTACAAGAAACAGAGACGGACGATGGCGCGAATAAAAATATGCTGTTAACAGATTTTAGAAGGATAAAGATGATACTAAAAAAATATTCAGAAAGAAAAAGGGGGAATTTTAAAATTCTTTAACTTGGGCAAGAATCCTGATGGCACATATACACGATTCAAACTGTCCGCTGTCGTTATTTAACGCGCCATCGAAAAGGGGCGTTATCCTTAAACGCTGAGATTGCGAACAAATTCAAGAATAGGGGCAATTATTATGTCAAGCTTTTCAAGAAATGACAGGGAGAAATCTCAGAATAACTAAACGAAAAACTGACCAGGTCCAAAATTGTTGGAGATGAAAACTGCGGGAGAGGGTTTTTTAATAATAGTTAAATGAATGGAATAGAACACGAAACGCGGTGGCACGTGATTTAGATAGCTCCTCCTCCTCTTGGGGCGCTTTGCTGCCTGATTTGCGAGGGACAAATCGAAGATTAAGCTTCTGGTTGGAGAACAAAACTTGCATGTATAGTTAGAGGATAAAAGCATAGGATTAAGGGTGTTGAGGGAACAACTCATCTATCTGCTCTCCGCTCTGCGTTCTTGGTCTTGCTCTGCCTGAATTCATTGTTCATACTTTGCCTTGATATCTCACCGATTAACTCTTCTTTTTATCTTCTTTGAACCCCATCTGGCGGTGCATGCTTCTTAAGCGGGTTATTTTACGCCTTGAAAAAGGGATATTCAGAAAGAACTCTCGATACGATACGATAGATCTATCTTTTCTTTTTTTCTTTTCTTTTTTTTTTTTTTTTTATTCCGCTTTAATCAAAGAAATGGGGGGATTGGAGTCAAGCATTTGCGGTGCGGGCTAGGGCTGGCAGCACACGCGAAGACTTGAATAGGGATGGAAAGCCAACAGGCAAGAGGAAAAAGGCGATGCTAGGAGGAAAGGAGAAGAAGACACACTATATATGATTTTCAAAGCGCACATGATGACTTCCATTTCCACTTTCTAACCTGACTTGAAAGGGGAAAAAAATAGCAAGCGAAGGCAAAGTGTATTTCTCTTTCAAGTACTTGTGCATGTTTTCCTCATCCCTCCACGAGCGTCTCGTCCCTCGCCGCCGTTCTTTTCTTTCTTTCTTTCATTCATTCTTTCATTCATTCTTTCCCCTTTTTTTTTACCATTTCGTAAATCAGGAGAGCATAAAAAGCTAGATTAATTGGCCGATTGATTATATTGAATTCTGAGCCCGTCTCTTCCTCCCGAGCAATTACAGAAAAGAACAAGCAACGAAGAAACGAAAAAGGAAAGGGGAAGGAAAGGGGGGTTCCTCTAGATCAGTGAATCATAAAGCAAAGGACGAGAGGGAGGGAAGACGGCAACACAAGCATGCATGCATGAAAATAATGTATTTAGTAAAGTCATTGATTAAAATAAAACAAAGAACGGGCCGTATTGTCGGGGACATATTGAATGTATTCTTTTTTGTTATTTTTCTAGAGAGGAAAATCATGGCGACGTTTGCATGGCTTCCGAAAAGCTGTTTGCGGCAGTGGTGGCAAAATATCGCACGTCGACATCATCGTCCTGCTGCAGCTTCTCAAGATTTGGGAGGATCTGTTGCTGTACGATGGTGTGGTTGCGCGGTCCTGGAGTGCTGTTTGTCTGCCCGGATTTTTCGAGCTCGGCCAAAGTGCCCTCTGCGGGTAGGCGTCGGAGGGTATCTATCATGACAGCGTAGGATTTCGCGACGTTGAAGCGGATGTTCGGGATGTCGTCACCGACAAGTCTCTCGAGAATCGGGAGGATGGACATCTCGATTATAGTGAGGTTGACAGCTGGCGCAAGGGTCTAACCATCGCGAAATTAGCTCTATCGGGCTAAACTTCCCCCTGTTCCCCAAAAGAAGAAGGGAAATTCTAAGAAGTGGGGGTGGGTAAGGAAGGTAGAGGTTCGTTTCGACTTACAGATATAGCGAAACAAGTTGTCATTCTATAAAGATAGTTTGGATGCTGGCCCATCGATATAACCTTTGGAATAATGGAATTTTTCGCCCATTCCACGCCGAACACTTCCGTCAGTTTCTTTAGGTTCAGAGTAGCTGCCTCGCGAATCGAGAACACAGCATCCCCAAGCCAGCCCATGCACAGGGCGCTGAGCTGCTCGTCGAAGAACTTTACGCCAAGCTGGCTGGCAAGAAGGGGGATGTATTCGATGATTGCCAAGCGGACACGCCACTGCTTATCTTCCGCTAGCTGTACAATCGCGGGGAGGAGAGATTGGGATAGAAGCTCGATACCAATAACTATTTATATAACATGTGAGTTGTGGCGGGACATTGTATCTTATATTGGCGTGTGTAGACATACCTTTATTGACCATTTCCAGCTTGGATATAATGTGCAGGCGTACATCGGGGAATTCATCTTTCAGCATTTGCAAAAACATAGGGAGTAGGTGCGCAATAGTTCTAAAGCAAGGGCTAGGTTAGCAATATATTATTTTAAGGAAGAAAACGAAAACATCACTCACTCATCCTTGCCAAGTATCGGCGCCAGTCCACTGATTTGTATGCCTAGCGCAGCGCGCACATGTTGCGAAGGATCAGACACGAGGTCTTCAATGCTAGTCATTATTTCATTCAAAAGGGTATCTCTATCGAGCAGTTCGCAGAAACCTACAACAGTGTTAGATTACGTAGGAAAACGTACTGCCGCAGTTCATCTCTTACCAGGAATTTGTCCGGCGATTGCTGTGCGGACTTCTGCCTCGGTATCCTTTAGCAACTTCACGAAGGCAGGGACCAGATCCCGATTCAACACGTCATCATCAACAGCTTTTGCGATCTATGTAGTCGCTAGTCAGTTATTTATGGATGGATATAGCGCGGCCGCAGCTCAGGAGTTGAATGTTAATTGTACCTTTTCAAACCTATCAGCCACCATGTATCTAACCCTCCAGCTTTTATCTTCGAATAAACTCCGCAGTGCGGTTAGAAGGACACCATGGCTTGACTGTTGCTCCTTGGGGATCTCTTCGCAGATTGATATCAAGATATCCACTGTTAATAGTCGCACACTATCCTGGTCATCGTTTGCAAGGTATTGGAAGAGAGGGATTATTTCATCTATGATCACTTGTGTGCTCATCTCTTTGGTGAACTTGGCAAGGTTATTTGCTGCCTGGCGTCTGACCATGGGAGTGTCATCGTGGACCAGGTGTCCAAACTGCTGTCGAAGACCTTGCTGCGAAGTGGGGGAGGCTTTGGAGTATGGAGCGCTGTAGAGGCCTGTGGCAGATATTTTGGAAGTGAACCAGTCCGCTTTCGAGAGGCTCACAGTGAGGGGTATGAAATAATCTTCGATCTGCTTTGAGGAAAGCTGTGCGCAAATCTTGTTCAGCGATTCAACCGCCTGTAGATCGATATATTGTCAGTAGACAGTCGCGCGTGCGTGGTTGGAGGTATGCCAGGTTCAGAGTTTTCATTTCACTTGGGGGCCAAAAGGCAACTTGCCTTTTCTCGCACCAAGGGTTCCTCAATCGCGGCCAAATTCTCTAGCGGAGATAGTAGAACGTGTGCATATTCCGGACCACCAACATAGTCGACGAAATTGCCCATTTCCTCACTGAGCGCAGTCAAAACTTCATCTTCATCTTCGACTGACTCTGGATGGGGGGGATAGCAGTAGGCTTGGTCAGTCTTTTTGGACTTTCGGATACGACGATGGACCCGCAAATCAGGAAGAAGGCTGAGTGAGACAAACCGTCAAGAAAAGGAATCAATTCGTCCCGTGTTCGTTCCGGACCAAGAGCCAGAGCAATAGTAGATAGGCGATGAATGGCGTTTAAACGGAGGAGGACATCCTCATGCTATATCTTGGGTGAGAAGGCTGCTTTTACCAGGGTTGCTACCACCCGCAGAGAATAAATAATGGGGGACGTACCTTCAGTTCATCGATCAGAACAGCGATGGGGTAGAGCTCATCATTTTCGCCTTGGCCTTCCATAGCTAGCAGCGGAGGAGGGAGGAGGAGGAGAGGATGCTGCGACAAGGCCTCCAGAGAGTTGTGTTTTCGACCGGGGAGGGGAAGGCCAATTGAGTTCTTCTTTTGAGTGCTGGATGTCGACGGAGGGACTCAATAGGCAGATGAGGGGAATCCAAGCATGAACCTTTGGCGTAGGCGGTGAAAATATATCTGGGGAGCAATGAATACCGGCAAGGTAGGTTAGTTGGCGCGGGCAAGAAGCAGCGTGGAGGGGAGAGATGTCACGGTCACGGTGAGGTATGTCTGGGGGAGTCTCGTGGGGTTGAGGTCAACAGGGCAAAGCCAATCGCCAGCGCGAACAAACGAAAAACGCCGTAACTTAGAGCAGAAGCAACCAGCAGGACGCAAATACAAACGCACCTTGAGTTCTTCCCAGTGACAGAAATCCAACCCTGGTGCGCTTACAAGAAGAACAGGCCCAGTGGTAAACAGTAAGAACAGAAATACGAGCTGGTCTTTGCAGTTTGCTGGAAGCATGATCCGCGCTCAGTGTTTTGTTCCTTTGCGTTGGTATGTGGCTGGTGGCCTTGGAAATAGGCGCCCGGCTGTGGCGGTGCAGCATGCTTCAACTCTCGTCGCTGACTCAACTTTGCTTTTTCCCCTCCATGAACAAAGCACTGACTCCGCGTGAAAAACCAGCTTGTGCTTGTCACTACGGTTGTTTTTCTGTCTGCACTCTGCTAGATAACCTGTCTTAGATTATAGGACAATTTTCTCTTGCGGAGTTTACCCCCCCTTTTACCCGTTTTAACAAACAGTGCGCGGCGTTTTATCTCCCCGGTGCCATATAGACCCCCCTCCACCATGCCGACCATCGCCGTGGATAAGGCTGCTCTCTTCAAGGAGCTGGGGCGAGAGTGAGTCCAATTGACTTCTCCGTATGTCTTGGTCATGTCTGACCTGTTTCTCTGTTTACTTTGTGTGATGCGCCAGGTATACTACAGAGGAGTTTGACGAACTATGCTTTGAGTTCGGTATGCGCCCCAACCATTACCAACCTCTCCTTACGAACACCCAAACTAAAATCATTCTTCTATAGGCCTTGAACTGGACGAAGACGTAATATGCCCCTTGTTGTACCCTCTCCAGAGCTGTCCATTCTGATCAATCACAGACCGAGAATTCAGAAAGACCGTTCGTAAATGGGAAACAAGAACCCCCGCAATTGAAAATTGAGGTTCCCGCGAATCGGTTGGTGGTACCACTATATTATCTATGGCTATACGGAAAAGAATCGGGGCTAACAGATTTATAGATATGATCTCCTCTGCATTGAAGGCATTGCTCTCATGCTGAATATCTTCCGTGAACGAACTCCGTCACCCCAATATCGCCTTGTTTCGCCTCCCAATGGCGAATTGGAAACAATCGTCGTAAAAGAGGAGGTGAGGAATGGGGACAAAGAACTACACATATATGTATAAATTGGCATTTACTGAGCTTTAAATTTAGACGACGAAAATTCGCCCTTATATTTCCGGCGCCATCCTTCGGAATGTCCACTTCGATCAAGCTCGGTACGAATCCTTCATCGCCCTTCAGGACAAATTGCACCAAAATCTTGCCCGTCAGAGAACGTTAGTGGCCATTGGAACACATGACTTGGATAAACTCAAGGGGCCCTTCACTTATGAGGCTTTGCCTCCAAAGGATATCAGCTTTGTCCCTTTAAGTCAAACACAGAAAATGAATGGAGAGGAGATGATGGAGTTCTATGAGGTAATATTTCACTGCGTTCTATTTTGTGATTCGCGCCACAGTACTAAAAAATTCCTACAGAAAGATAAGCACATAGGGAAATACCTTCATATTATCCGAGATTCTCCTCTGTACCCCGTTATTTATGACTCAAACCGTGTTGTCTGCTCGCTGCCACCAATTATCAATGGTGACCACTCGAAAATCACCTTAAACACCAAGAATGTGTTCCTCGAGTATACAGCAACTGATAAAACCAAGGTTGAGGTTGTGAACAATATCATGGTTACCATGTTCTCCCAATTTACATCAGAGCCCTTCACAGTGGAACCCGTGAGAATAGTGTCAGAGCACAACAACGAAACTCGACAGACCCCCGATCTTACGCCCCGGTCCGCTCAAGCCAGTGTGTCTTACATTAATCAATGTTGCGGTCTCTCCCTCTCCGCCACAGAAATTTGCAATCTCCTCAAGCGCATGTCCTACTTTGCCGAACCATCCAAAACGTCCCCAGATCTGATCGACGTCCAAGTCCCAGTAACCCGCGCAGACGTACTCCATCAAGCAGATATCATGGAAGACGTCGCCATCGCCTACGGCTTCAATGAACTTCCGCGGTCCTTCCCCAGCAAATCCGGCACAGTCGCCCAACCCTTACCCGTAAACAAACTTACCGACATCATCAGAACAGAGGCCGCGATGGCCGGCTGGTCCGAAGTCATGCCTCTTATCCTCTGCTCACACGATGAGAACTTTGCCTGGCTGAACCGCAAGGACGACGGCAATACAGCCGTCAAGCTTGCGAATCCCAAAACGATAGAGTTTCAAGTCGTCCGCACGAGCCTGCTGCCGGGCCTGTTGAAGACGATTAGTGAAAATAAGCATCATGCGATTCCCATGAAGATCTTTGAGGTTAGCGACGTTGCGTTCAAGGATGTTTCTCTTGAGCGTAAGAGCAGGAATGAGAGGCATTTCGCTGCGGCCTGGTATGGGAAGAACAGTGGGTTCGAGATTGTGCATGGGTTGCTTGACAGGGTTATGGCGATGCTGAAGACTGCGTTCATTATTGGAGAGGAAGGGCTGGATAATCCTTCGATGGGGAATGCTACTTATTGGATTGAAGAGTTGGAAGGTCCGTACATCCATCCCCAAATCATAGATGCGGGGAAAAGAGAAGGGGGCGAAGGAAGCTCTTATGGACGATCACTAACGTTTTCATTTTTTATTTTAGATCCGACATATTTCACCGGCCATGCAGCCTCCGTACACGTCAGCATTTCCGGAAAGGATCACATCATTGGTTCCTTCGGGATTTTGCATCCGACAGTGCTTGAGAAGTTCGAGTTGAAATACCCCGTCAGCACACTGGAGATTAACATTGAGGCGTTCCTATGAGGAGTAAGATTTCTGATTTCCCGTTTTCCTATCTTCATGCTCTTATGTCACTCACACATGGCTCGCGTAGATTTGAGTATGATTTATCAGAGGAAGTATTCGCCCTTGGGGCTGTTTCACGATGTAGAACGAATCGTGGGTATGAATGATGACGATGATAATTGAAAAAAGAGAAAAGAGAAAAGGGGCACGTGGGCTTATTGACAAAAATCAACGGGGTCGCATCGCGCAGGCACAGCCAGAGCTAGAGCTGGAATAGAAGAATACCTAGATATGAATGCATTGTTTTTGGCTTCTTAAATCATTTCTTTGCATTGGTTGCTTTTAGCGAGCGGTGACGCGACTGTGGGTGATAGATAAAATATTCATACCCAGGTAGTAATCCGTGCTCACCATATACAGAGTGGTAAGGAATTTATACGCAGGAAGATTTCGTGCAGATTTTATCACTGCGACTCTCCTTTCTCATTCTCACTTCGGAGAGAATCAATCAATCATCCCGTGGCAGAGGGACCCATATACGCACCATCACACACGTGTCAACAGGGATCAGTCGAGGTTTCCATCCCCTTGAGCAGCAAACCTAATGGACAAGGGAGAAAGCAGAAGCTAATCAAACAAAACCGGCAGAGGGAAAATAATCTTGTATTTATTTTGCGCCAAACAGACCATCAACACATGACCCTTGGGGAGGGGGGGAAAAAAAAGAAAAAAAAAGAAAAAAAAATTAGAACATTTTAACAGAACATCAGAAAAAGAGCTCCATTCATCATTAACGAACAAAAATTTACTCCTGAACCCCTTCCACTACACCTTCGGCACCAGCAACCTGACCCGCAGCCTCCGCCTCCTGCTGCTCAGCCAATCGCTGCTGCTCCGCCAACTGCTGGGCCGCAAGAGCCTTGGCGCCGTAGTCCTGGCTGAGTGGTTGCAGGACGGGCTGCTCCTCCTTGGGCTCAATGATGGTGACGGAATCCGGGAGGGATTTCTGAGGACCCGATTTGCCTTCGGGGTCGCTGCCGCGCATGATTTTGACTTTGATACCGAGGACACCCTGGCGGAGGAGGACGTGGCGGGTGGCGCTGTCGATGAAGTCGCGGACGGGTTGGCCGGAGTGGATCATGAAGCCGTCCTGTATTGAGTTGGTTAGTTGATGTTGATATTCAGGGGAAATCCCACCGTGCTGCGCGTGCGTGGATCTGGGAAGTGGAATTTTGAGGTGATGGAATGGGGATGCGGATGGGATTGAGGATAGGTAGGAGTAGATTTCAACCAAATGCCTCCTAGCTCCCCATATGTTTTCCTGCTGACCAAAAGAAAATCGTACTGCTAAAATAAATAAAAAATGTAATGTAATGGATGAACATACGGTGAACTTCATGCTCTTAGCACGGGCAGCTCTCAGCTTCCCAGACACAACAACCTCGCAACCCTTGGCACCGCTCTCCATGATAAATCTGAGGACACCATAGCAAGCTCTTCGGACAGCGAGACCGTTGAGCAGCTTATATCGCAAGCTCTCGCACTGAGCAACAGCAGAAAGACCACGGTTCTGGACCTTGGCGGCGTAGAGGGAGACGGAGTTTTCGGGGAACTTGAAGCGCTTCTGGATTAGGGAGGTGAGTTCGCGGATGCGGCGGCCTTGTTCACCCAGAACTTCTTGAGTGTGAGTGGCACGGATGACTATTGTGTGCAAAAAGAGTGAAATGGTTAGTTTCTTATCCAGATGTTTCAATATTTTTATTCACGCGTTTCGTCTATGTTCCCACGTCGTTCCCATCGTGCCATTCCATCTTTTTATCTGTTTTGCCCTTTCCTAACTTGTCGAATGTAACGCAATGCAAATTTCGGCAAGTTCTTCCTTTTCTCATATTCAATTGCAACCCTTGCACGCCGCGAATACATTGTAAACTAGGATAGGTATGCTCTTCCGTTCGTTTCCCCTTCTCCATCTCACAAGCTCAACGAAAAACAGATAAATGATAAATGCAGTGAGACATACTGATATCGGTAACCGTGGGAGTAACGCGGACCTCAACACCAGAGTATCCCTCCTCAGCCAACTCGCGCTGGAAGAACTCATTCAACTCAGCGTAGAAGACACCGTCAGCCACGAACTTGCGGCGCTTCGAGATCGCTCCTTGGACGGCAGCCATGATTGCAATTTGTTGTTTTTTGTTTTTTGTGTAAACAAAAAAGAAAACAAGGTCCGCCGGGGATGAAAGGGGGGTCGTGGGAAGGGAGATTCGTTGGGCGACGGCGACGGCTGGGAGCGCTTCTCTTCTCTTCTCTTCTCTTTCGTCTTCCTGGCGAGGTTTGATTTCGCTTGCCGATGGGTTTTAGTGGGGGATATTTCCAGGTAGGGCTTGGGGTTTGCCCTGATTCCGCTTTGGGACATTGTTAGGGCCACTAGGCCGGTTTGGGCTTGGCGCCTCGGACGCCAGCCGCGGCAGTGGTTTGAATGATATCAGAGATTAGCAACGCATATGATTTAGGTAGTTCCATTGCATTAGACATTGAAACTAAAAATTTGTTCAAATTACTCTGTGTTGCGAGTTGCTAAAGAGAGATGCTAAACACATGACCAACTTGCCAATTATGCTGTGATGGAACGATGCGGTCTCAATGCCTCAAAGAGAAAGAGAAGAGACATATATACATATGCCTGTTGATTCTTAATACTGAGAAATAAAAATAAATAAATGAAACGTTGTTCCATCAGTCGTCTCATGTTCCAATGCAAACCCAAGAGAAACTAACCTCGCATGATACGGATGTATATATTCAACGCCGCCATCCATATCTCCCAGCAGCATAGAAACGAAAGAAAAGGAGAAAAAGACTAGAAATATAATATGAATGCTACCCCATTTACTGCATCTCTACTTCCATCTCCTTATTGCCTGCCGCCTCTGATCGTTTTCCCTGGCTGCTCTCCCGGCCAGTGGGTAAGCCTAGGCCCACCAGTCCGGCAGCAAGGGCTGCCATCCCCCCGGACGGCATACTGGTGGTATTGCTGGGTGTAGGTTGCGCGAATGTAGAGCTGCCGAAAGATCGTTCAGCAGTCTCAACTCCAGTGAGCACCGGTGTCCTCGAGCCAGAAGGGTAATCTTTATCTAGAGATACACCGCTGCGTGGGGTATTCATATCTGCATCACTACGGCCAAAGGCCTCACTCCACCACCTCACCTCGCCGGGCCGAGGGAAAAGAAGCCGTTCCCGGCCCCTCTTATTATCATCTATGACAGGATCGTATCGCGGGTTCGTGAACTGTTCTCGCCGGGCGAGGAAATAGTCCCACACGCTTCTTGTCTTTTCCTTGGCTTTTGAATCTATTCGTTCCTTTTCGCTGTTGAAGAGGAAGGTCCCGTATTGGCATGAGTAGAGATGATATAGGAGTCGTCGAAGGAAGCGTTCGTTGAACTCAAAACGTGTGGGGTGCTGGTATAGCAGTTGATATGTCGCATCAAGGAACTGGTGAAAAACAGGGCTAGTTTCCTTGATTTTCGTCACCTCAACGCCGTTCGCGGGTGTGGATATCCGCGAGGCAGGCTTTTTAGAATTATCCAAGTCCAGCGCGTTAGTTTCCCCGTCAGATTCGCCCAATGAATCCCGGCTCGCGTTATCCCTGTTGAAAAAGCCCTTGGCACTGAGGAGAGCATTTTCTAGTGCTTTTCCAGCGCCGCCGGCATCTCCAAAGCCAGTACGGTTAGCATCTCCCCCCAATCGGTCATTCTCGATTTGGAACCATTTCTCGCTATTTAAAAATCCAGATCTATGACGAAACATGTGACCAAAAGAAAGCCAATCTTTTTCAACCAGGACCATGAATCCTTCCATCGTTCTATAATATGGGTCGAGACATAACTGGCTCAACGCGCTCAACTGGGCAGTTCTATCCCATCCATCCGAGCAGTGAATGAGCACATGAGAGTGCTGCAAGCCCACTTGCCGCGCAATTAAAGCCGCTCCGTCAAGTATTCCAGTGATATGTTTCAGCCAACCGCTTCTCGCAAGCTGATCTCGGTTTGGCCCGAGTGGTGTCACATCAGATTCCTTGAGCGAATCAATAACACGGTTTAGAGAATCCCTCATAACATGAATATTATCAATCCCTAGGTAAGCCTTGGTAGCGAACTTGTAGTTATCCATATTTTCGGACCCTAGGCCGACAGCCTGCATCGCAAATGCGTTCACAGTTGGACGAGCATCAACGATAAGATTGTGCTGCTGCGCGCCATAAATCTGGGGCTGGTTTGCAGTACCTTCCTCCCTTGCCGCAGAAATCACTTCGTCTTCAAGTTGTTCAGCGTTGGATAATTCAAAATCAGCTGGAGCTTTAGGTTGTTCTTCCTGGCTGGAGTTTAATGATTCAGCCTCCAAGGATGACGGAGGCGTATAGTTCGCAAGAGGCCTCTCCGGGCGAGATGTCGAAAAAATAGCCGCTAAAAGCTTTTCGTCTTGTATGCTTCTCTTCCCACGAACACCTACCAGCGGTTGCGAAGATCTTGTAATGGAACAGTTGTTGACGGGATGGAGATAGGTAAGAACAGGTATTCGAGCTCTAGATCTATATCTTCCAGCATAGTTGAGCGTATTATCAGACATTGTCGAAGGGACTGGAAGAAGGGCGGGATAGGTGGGCGAGAACTGCAGAAACAAACATGTTAGTATGTTTAACGATATAGAAGACCCAGGACTTATCCATACCGAATAATCTTGATTAATAGTAGATATCCTCCAGCCACAGTTTGTGTCTGGCTTTCCAACACCCAATCGCAACCATTCTTCCCGTGGATCATATAGATTCCATCCGTTCAGGCCCCGTTCCGGAGGTGGGGGCTGATAGGTGAACGCATAAAGTTTCTCGATTCGACCAAGCCTGCAAGTCCATGACTTTATGCTTTCATATGCATCTCTTGCTCTAGACTCATTGGGGAAGTAGAAACAGACGAATGTGAAATCACGACATCGGAGCCGTATCGAAGATGGTTGTCTTGAAGATGCGGCTGCTGGTCTGTAGGTGCAAAAGGAAATGATCGGGTATGTGATCCAGAGCTCTTTTGGTTTCGGGACCACACTATCTCCCTGCGGCTGATCTGCGGTTGCCGCTGTAGCTGGCGGGGTATGCGAAAATATGAGGTGGTGAGGTGTGAGATGCAGGGTGCCGAGGACTTGCTCTCCCCGTCTCGAAAGAGTCACATTGTCCACCTTTTACGTACATGCAAAATGGAAAGTCAGCGCTACCTGTGTATTTGCAGCGGACTTCAAGTAGCTGTCCTTACCTTTGCGATCCTCGTGCGTTCCATCTTGCTGTGTAAAATCCGTGCGGCGAATTTTTAAAGTAATGGCATGATGAAGACGAGCTTTGCTGGTATCGCTTCTTTGCAGGCTGTCTTGGCTTGGAGGAGAGCAATCAGGATCGATGAAGCGGATAGCGAAGCTACAAAAAGGTAACTTGGAAGCACTTCAGGGCGATGTTTGACAAATTATCTGTCTTCGTGGACTGCTTGCTGGGTATCGCGGTGGTGATTCTTTTTCAGCTCTCGATGTTGGTGCTGGCAGTTCTTTCCAGCAAAATAGCGTCGCTAAGGATCACCCCTCCTACGTCAGATATTATTTGGCGATTGTTAAACTTTTCGACCCACCAACATTTTCTGCCCTGCACCACCTACAAAGGAACAGTCCTCAATTTTATGCAAAAGAAAAGTTATAAATATATTTGCTATATAACAGCATATCTAATGGACTGAGGGGGGTATCGTCTCGCTATTTATACAGTACGAAGAGAGAAACAAGTACAAGATAACAACCTGGAGACAAGAGAAAGATGGGGGGTTGGGAGAATTTATTTTGGCTCTCCTTCAAGCTCTGATTCTTTATCGATGAACTGTTGAAATTCAGCTTTTATGCCTTCGTCAACGTTGCCATCTTGATTCACCTCCCTCGCCATCTCAGCAAACATTCTCACCGCCTGCGGATAAGTACTGTTGCTCGTCCATCCACATCTACTCACGAGGGGCGAAATCTGATCCAAGAAGTCCTGATGTCGGTTGAATGTGTCTGCGCTATCCGCTTGCCTTTTTAATTCTTCGTCGGTAAATTTGTACGGAATCGGCCCTTCGATACCCAAGAAGTCCCAGCGTCTATGGTTTTTTATGGTCAGCGTGACTGGATTATGGCATGATTGCGTTTCAAATGAGGAGGGGAAAGGGAGTGGAAACTCAACCGTTGAATCTTCATAAGGGATTCCCTAAACCGTGCGATGTCGTCGTCTTTCCATGAGCTGACACATAGCTGGATAGGTAATGCTCTGATTTGCGCGAAATCAAAGGAGAAAAGTTTGTCAAGCTGGGGAACGTCCCTGGAGACGAATTTCTGGTAAGCGTACCGGAGAACAGATTGAGCAATTTTTTCGTCGATTTCTCTTCGTTCGTCCTCCGCTAGATTCTTATATTCATCTGGATAATCGAGGGTCAAATCATCGCCATTGACCTTAACGAGTGCTGGCGGGGAGGCCTCAATGAATAAAGGTCCCGCCCATACATGCTGCCAGCCAAGAATACTACTGATCCGATTGCCTTCCAAAAATATGTTCTCGCTATGAAAAGGTGGAAGGGAAAGGTAAGATGCCACCAATGTAGGGTCCTTCGGTAGGAGCAGAGGAGCAATACGTATGTACTTGTCAAATAGGGAATTGTGTGCTTCCGATGATAGCAAATCATCTGTAGGTGGGCAATCCGAATCAATATCAATCTCCCTCATATTGGGATGCTTTTTCATCCAGTCTATTTCTCGTTGGCCAACTGCCATTGCATATTCAAGAGGAGTTTCCCCTGTGATCCATCAGCAAGAACATTGAAGATATGTCAATTAGGTGCGGCCTTACATGGGCCCCGATCTATATCCAGGTTTGCTCTTTCCTTGAACCAAAAGTCATTCCGAGCGGTAGGCCCAATTGTAAACTTGTCCATGACATCTCGTTGAACGGCAGTGGAAATGAGGCCTTTAACTTCAGCCCTTGACCCCTTGATAGGGCAGCTTGAAAAATACAGGCTTCCATACCTTTGACCAAAAAAATGTATCAATTCGGTGTCCTCCTATTTGCGTGGGTGGGGAAATGCTAATACGTACCGATTAAAAGTTACAGACAAGAGTTTCTTATGAATTGAGACAAGATTCTCAATGAAAGCTATCTGATCCCGCGCTTCCATATTTGCCCATACGTCTTTCAGTGGAGTCCCCCTGGCCTCTTCGGTCAGGATAAACTCCGTGCCCACTGAATTGTCCTCGTTTGCGTCCCATGCTAGAACTTTAGGAACAGGAATCCCAAGAATTGTTCTCACCTAGAATGCGTCTCCATTAGCACTCCTCGTTTATTTTAAAAGTTAAAAGGGAGTATAATTAAAAAATAACACCAGACGAAACGCCTTACAAATTCCATCGTTGCAGCTGTTGATGCCGTTGAGTAGTACTTGGGAAATCCATCGATTAAATATGGTATGCTTGCGATAGCAACCGCGCCGTTATCCATTACAAGCCGGAATACTTTGCTGTGCCCGCCATCTGTGACTTTGGAAATATGTTCACATTTGTTCGCTCCGACTGCCTGGGCTGCTATGCGCTGCAAGGCATTGACATTGAATTCTTTGTAACGGAGCCGTAATTGTTTTTCTTCATCCCACAACCAGCGCCCCCCCGTATAATTGTAAAACTCGCAATAGTCAGTGCTAAGTTCTGGAGAGCTACCACGGTCTGGAACAAAACTATATCGTCGGGATATCCATTGATGAGGGAAATATCTGGGGGCGTAGCGTTGACCGAAACGATGGCGGGCGCAAAATATGTTAGATGAATACCTCCATGGATACACAGGCTTTAAGGGGCCCATCTCGTTAGATTAAGATTGAAATTATCAGTATAAGTCCATCGCTCAATGTATTAGATATCAGGTACTTAAGATTGCAGTCTCCCGGGCCTGTGATCTGATGTTGACGAATGATTTGATGGTGACGAGACACCTGGTAGGCTGGGACATGTCAGATAATCAACATGCCAAGGAGGCCAAGATAGCCAAACTTCGGGAGCCACTTCGGGAGCCACTCCCGCGCTCCCGCGCGCTTACAGTCACGTGACTATATAGCAAAGACCCACATTGAGCCTCCAACCTTCCAACTGCATCAAGCGGTTGGTATCATCTTTATATAGCGGGAGCATGGGCTGTTGGGAATCTGTTTCTCCCCTCTGATAATGCGACTCTAGAGATGATGAGGAATCATAACGGTTTTTCCCGTCTCATTTCTGTATCATGTGGGCATCTCATTGCCACTTTTAAGCTCTGATAAACCCCAAAACAGGAAACCCTACCTGTTGTCATTACCATGGAAAGACCTCGCTGTTCCGATAAAGTTCTATCGATCCAATCATGACCATTAGATGGTTAAACAAGATGAGTTTGTGGAGTGGCGTCTTAGATCGTTGTGTCGTTTGAAAAGACGGACAACAGAAGTTTCAGGTGCAGGATCCCAGCCCTATACAGAATGGATATCAATCGTGCTTTAATGCACAACGCATGAATCCGGGAGAACCCAAGCGTTGATAATGCTATCACGCTACCAGATCCATGCGATCGAAACCAGTGTTCGGGTGATGTCCGCCGTCTCCGTCACTTCGTCATTTTTTGTCATACTCAGTTTTCTGTGGGGCAAGCTATTTCAAACGCCGGTCAACAGGCTAATGTTTTATGCCACCTGGGGTAACGTCCTTGCGAATGTTGGCACTATGATTGGAGGGGCTGGAATCTCTCATGGTGCGGGTAGTAGTCTTTGTAGATGCCAGGCATTTCTTTTACAATGGTGTGTTCGTCCAATTTGAACTAAAGTCCCAGTTGATTCAGAAGGAAACTGACAAATATTTTATGAGCGTAGGTTTTTGCCAACAAATGCTCTCTGGATCCTTTGCCTGGCCATCAATGTATACCTGACCGCATCTCACAAGTACAGACCATCTGAATTAAAGAGGCTAGAATGGCGTTACTTGATCATGTGCTACATAGTACCGCTCATCCCCGCCTTCGCCTTTCTATTTGTGGAAACGAAGGCATCAGGCCCTGTTTATGGAGATGCTGTGGTGAGTAAAGTGTATGACAAGTTTTACGATATAGCTGCCTGATTGTTAACAAATATATGTCTCAGATATGGTGCTGGATTAGACCGGAATGGCAAGCCTTTCGCTTCGCTTTTTTTTTTGGACCAATCTGGCTCACAATAATTATGACCATTGCGATCCTTCTGTACCAGGGCATCGAAATCTACTCGAAGCGAATGAAGATTAAAAAACTTTCCGTGGATGCTGTTCATGAGATCTCAGACAAACATCATCGGCGTGACACCGCCACCAGCGTGCAAGCGGTTGCTCCATTACCGAGTATAGTTTCCACGAGGGCGGACAATGGACCTGGAAATGCCTCAACTTTCGAATCCCAACCCTCTTCCGGAGACGTACAGCCTCTAGGAGAAGGAGATACAAGCGCCAATGAAAGGACACCGCCAAAGACGGATCTGTCAACCCGCGAAACACCAGAAAGAACACCAGAAACAACTACAGAGAGCGCAAGGTCTAACATTAATCATGGGCAACTTCCAACACGGAAACCGTCAACTCTTACACTAGGTCCCACTTTTTATGCGACGGGAGCTGCTCAAGATGAATCGAGATCAAACTATGAACAGCACGGAACACCGGTATCAAGTGGAACTACCGACGCTAGAAGAAACGATTTAGGCCTCGACGAACTCGAAAATCGAAGCGCAGCGAGCAGCGCTCCTACTGCGTACGCCCAAGTAAGATCACACGACGGTGCATCGCTCGGACCTACTCGAACCTCGAGCTTAAGCCAAAACAGGACCTGGAGAACGCGCCTGCCCATTTTACGACCCCTGCAGACTGCTGACAGACATACCGCAACTTATTTGTATATGAAACGAGTTTCACTATTTTTCCTTTCACTACTCCTAACTTGGGTTCGTTCTAAAACAACTAATATTTATCCCTCCCCTTCCTTTCTAACATTTTGTATTTATAACCGTTTCATGCTTATAAGATGTTTTGGATTTTTGCTGACACGGGAAAATTACCTTTCTAAGACACCCTCCACCATTAACCGTATCCATCGCGTTTCTAATCCGGATGACCCAGTATTTGGTTTGGCTCTTTTATCTGCAGTAGTCCTTTCACTGCAGGGTTTTTGGAACTTAATAGTCTACATAAGCACGTCGTTCGATGCTATCAAAACTCTCTGCGCCGCGTGCCGTGTAAAATTCCGTTCGTATACCGAGGTGTGACGATAAGCGCGGAAATTTCGGCTGAGCAACAGCTCGATATGGTAAACCAAACGTGGGATGCATTCCGCGAAATGGCAGGGATGGGCGACATTTCTGGATGGCCGATAAACCCAAGTTGGTATCCCGAGGTTGCCCAATGGCGGAATTTTTGTTGATACTATGGGCAAAGTGATCTGATCGGTTCATCTATCTATTAAGGCTCCTCAAGTTAGCGGACCGCTCTGTTGGGGGGCACTCTCCAGCTGGAGGCGCTGTTGCGACTGATGATACTGATAGTGATGATAATGATAGTGGCATGGAT